TGGAGATTGCGAATAATGTAGACAGAAGAACGTATTGCTGAATTTCGTGTTTAAAACAAACTCTACGGGGTGATATAATGCTGTTCCTGTTCGCGCTTAACAGCTGACCGATTACCTTTGAATGGATGGCTTTCCAGCTGTTACCAGTTTGTCCAGTTAGCTTACCATGTACATTGGCGGACTCGACATGCAGAGAGGAGTTGACTATGACAACGGGGTTTGAGTCTGGTGTAGAACGGTTCCAGAAAGTGGGTAAGACAAAAACAGAAGTAAATAACAGGGTAATAATGTAGTAAAATCTGAAAATGTGTTAAAAGTCAGGCGAGGGTTTTTCTTTTTCTGGATTGCCTTTTAAAACTGTCAATTGGGTTTAGTGAAGTGGTTGGTCAGGTCAGTTGGTGCTTTTGAAAACACTATTGATTGGGTTCAGGGAAGTAAGAGGGTGGGTCAGTCGGTTAGTCAGTCAGTCAGTCAGTCGACAGCAGCCTCTTGTGGATTTATGCAAGAACAGCAAGCACGAATGGCACTAGCGAGAGAAATTTGAGACCTCAAAAAGTGTTCACAGCAGCCTCTGGTGGATTCACGAAAACAAAAACTGCAAAAAATGTACCTCCGAGAACATGTTTCGCGATCTCCTGAAATGTATATAGCGGTACGTTTTCAGTATGAGCTTGGGTCGTTGTTTTATATTTGTTTCTGTGAAAATTTTCTTGTAGAATTGTTTTGATAAGTGATAGAGAACCATTTTAGAGAAATGGTATTAAAAAGGGGTTTAGAAGTCAAAGTCTCTCTCTCTCTTTCTCTCTCTCTCTCTCTCTCTCTCTCTCGATCTCTCTCTTTCTCTCTCTGGTCTCTAGTTTGCACATGGTGATATAAATTCAGATTCAGCAAGTAAGCTTTTCTCTCCAGCCAACCACTGCACTGGACTCGCAGTGGGGGGAAAACAGTCAAACTGCACCGAAGAGTGAATTCACAGAGGATCACAGTAGATAAGTTATTCAGAGTGAAGGACAGAGACACGGAGCATTTGTTATCTCTTTATTCAGAGAAGGCGCATTAGTAAGGGCCATTGGGAATGCAAAACAGCGACTCCATCCTTTGCTTTACACAGCTTTAGTTATCTTTAAGGGATTATTCCACATCTGAAATCTTTGTGTCGATTGGCATCATGGCACACGCTGCAGCACACCTGAAAAAGGCAAGGGAACTGGAACAACCTCCTGAGATAAAGGCTCTCGCCAAAGCCAGAGAGAGACGCAGGAGGCATAAAGAGAGGGCAGAACGCAAACGAAAGGTATTGAGATTTACAGACCACTAAAAACATTTGATTTCACCTCAGATTTGTCCATTATAGCTCTGATAAAGCTGACCTATTGACCTATTAGTCATATTTACAGTATTAGAGCAGACTGCTGGGTTTAAAGAAATCTGAGATCATATATTTAAAATGTTTAATAATTCAAAATTAATATGCAAATCATGGCAAAGAAAAGGAAATATTCAGAAATATTCATTGTCTTTCTTGATATGCTGAAGTACGGTGTTGTGGTGCACTGTTTAATGTGTAGTAATTCATTGTGAATTGTTCATTTCTGTGCTTTCAGTGTTAGCGGATGTAAAATACTGTATCTGTGATGAGAGTTAATCTCACTGACATTCACATGCACAGAGGGTTTATTAAGGTCAAAGGGTACGATGATGTCATACACGATATGATCTTGATTTGAATATTTTCATATGGCATCTTAATGAAACTTCTTTTTTCAAAATTGCATTAACAGTAAGTCATTTTATAATTGTTAATGATTATTATTACATGTTGCTAGTGCATGCAAATTTAATTCAATGGCCTCAGTCTGATTACTTATGCATGCCTTTTCATGCAGCATGGTTTTTATTATAAGATATTTTTTTTTGTTTATTTGAAATGTCAAATTAATTTTGATTTCTCATTTGTCAAACCATTGTTATCTGCAGCATGCAATAATTAATTAATGAATCGTTTTATGGTGTCTTTTTTCAGTTTTTCGTGCTGCAGATGAGCTCTAGGGATAAATCCTGTAGTCAGCTGTTCTGCACCTGTTTCAGAGCACAGATACTGGAAGAGGCTTAGAAAATAGGATCATCCTGTATGCAGATTTGTCTCTACAGGGCAAAATCTCATTGGTTGCATGTGTAATGATGATACAACATTTTGACACATGTTTTTTAATAAAGTTTTTTAAGTGTTAGTAAATAATCATAATGCAGCCAAAGATTTGTTATAAGAAATTATCATTATTAATTCATTTATTTGTCACGACAGACATAATGAACAAATCTTTCATTAAATACCCATCGTTTACAAAGAAGTTTAAAAAAAGAGTTTTAAAAAAGCTTAATGGAAGTGAAAATGTTTACCATCAGAAATGTGCTATTAAACATGTAAACATGTCCTGTAATTATGAGTGTAGCTGTTTGACCCGCATGATCTCCTGGAACCTTTAACTGCTCATATAAGCAGGTTAACATAACTGAAATACATATAATGTTTAGAGCTGTGAATGTACATGTTTTCATATAGACTGCAGTTTTACTGTAAATACACCTTGAGAATTAAAAAGCAGTTATAATTCGCAAAGATACAGTTTAATTGTTTGGAGTCCGTAAGATAAAACTTTTTATCTAAACTTTTATATTTTTTTACTTTCTAAAACATTTTAAATTTGCTAAAAGAAAAGCACATTTGTAATTGCAGTGAGTTACAGGAACAAATTACATTTTAAAATATTAAAACACTAAGAAAAAAATTAATTAATTATATATATATATATAGTGCATCCGGAAAGTATTCATAGCGCTTCACTTTTTCCACATTTTTTTATGTTACAGCCTCATTCCAAAATGGATTAAATTAATTTATTTCCTCAAAATTCTACACACAATGCCCCATAATAACAATGTGAAAAAAGAAAAAAAAATTAAATTGTAGCAAATTTATTTAAAAAACAAAAACAAAAAAAAAAAACAGAAAAATCACATGTACATCAGTTTTCACAGCCTTTGCTCAATACTTTGTTGATGCACCTTTGGCTGCAATTACAGCCTCAAGTTTTTTGAATATGACGCCACAAGCTTGGCACACCTGTCTTTGGGAATTTTTGCATATTCCTCTTTGCAGTACCTCTCAAGCTCTATCAGGTTGGATAGTAAGCAACCCATTGATTATCATGCTTATTTTATGGTCATATACAAAGTTGTTGACGAGTTATTACTAGTATTGCATTTTGCAGCAAAATTGTAAGTTACAGCACTTACCAACTGTGAATCAGTCACAGGCTGAGAGAGAGAAAGAGGGGTGTGTGTGTGTGTGTGTGTGTGTGTGTGTGTGTGTGTGTGTGTGTGTGTGTGTGTGTGTGTGCGTGCGTGTGTGTGTGTGCAACGCAATCTCACAGTAATTCGTAATTTTTTGATTTAGTGGCTAATTCGTATGAATTCGTAAGATCTAATATGTACAATTTAGTATGATTTGCTCATCCCCCAATGATGGTTGGGGTTAGGGGTGGGGTTGGGTGCCAAGCCCTCTTTTTAAAATTAATTTTAAACAGTAGGTAGGTTAATTGAGCCTTTTACGATGATACCCAGAGACTCAGAACGGGGGTACCGTCTCTGTAATATTTAGGTGTTTTTGTGTAATATTTATTATTTTGAGTGATTGGACAACCCAATTCAACCTAGGAGTGAAGAGAGGGTTATAGGATTGTTGATGGGAAGGGAGGAAATAGAGAGAGGGAGGGTGGGTTCGAGAGAACGAGAAGAATGGTGCTAGAGGGCTGGTCTGCCTTAAATAAGTTTTATTGAGTAGGTGATTGGTTAAGAAGACAAAGTGAGGCGTGGTTCTGCCTTTGTTAACAAGTTAACTCCATTAGATGATTGTCACAATTTGTGTTATGCTGGCTGAAAGTCTTTTCGCATCCTAATTGAAATTATTAAATTAAGTGGTCCAAGTCTATTTATGTGTATTTTAATATTCTGTGGAAGCCGTAGGACCAAGAAAAGTTTATCCAATCAAAAATTTAAGTCTGAACATTACAATAGGTTACCTGCTTGTCAAAATGTGTAATTGCTTACCTCTGCACAGCCTGTTTAAACAGAAAGAATTGCCATTGGCATGTTCAATGACAGAGAATGTATGACAAACATCGACAACCTACCTTCTTTTTCAAGTTTGGTTTTGTAATTGCTACATCTTCTATAAAGATTTCTATCTGGTTAAGGTTTCATGATGTATTGTAGAGACGTGGCTTTGGATTGCAAGAATTTGTGTTACAGTACCTGCCTTTTTGCAAGTAAGTCTGTGCATGTTGCCAAGGTGGTTCATTCAAGGTGATGTAAATATCAGTGTCCTCAAAATTACACAGAGAAATGTGTCTCGAATGCAGATAGGTCTCCACAAGAGTCACTGAGTTCACTACTAATCTTGAGGGTGGCACATTTATATAGAACTGTGAACAAACTGACTTAATTTGCCCCGTTAACTGTTGTAAAACAGATTGTACAATGGTTAGCAGGCAAAATGGCATTGACAGAGTAGTCAATGGCACATCAATATGTCTGTAGTAGAAGTCGAACTAGTGCTGACTCACAGTGTAATCAATGTGAAGTGCCTCAGGGCCAGAGATGACCCACAGACACCAATCTGATTCACTTTACTATAGCGGTTTAGTCTCCTCGTGTGTGATTGGAATTATGTGCTGTTAACCTGCATTGCGAAAGATTTCACCGAATTTTGTAGCTCTTATTCTCACACTAAATGCAAATGGTTTGTTGTTTGGAGACCATAGATATTGTGTTTTTTCTGAGTATGCCCTCTTTTTTGGACTTTAGTTGTCTCAGTAGATAGACATTCCTGAAGCTCAGGAGGATAAGGGCAAGTTTCCCAGCTGGCTCTTCCCGGCAGGATTGCCTCTCGCTGTTCCTTGCCCTGTCACATAGCTGCCTAGGCCTGGAGGGGTTAAAAATAACCCATCCCAGGATTCTGGATGGGGCGGATGTTCAGCCTGATATAGCAATGGGAGACACATTTACGGCCGCAGTTGTCAGTCACGAAGCCAGGCGGGAAGAGAGACAAAACCGGAAAAGCAAAGGAGACAAGGGATCAACTCCAACACGGGTCGAAGATTCTCACTGAAGGCGTGGGGCAGGGATCAGAAAGAGCACATAAGAGATGATGTTTGGGACCTGAGGAGAAAGATAGACATGAAAGTTTGGGGGATTTTGCATTAGCTGGATAGATGCTCTGAAGCTGATAATTGAATGGGCTCCTGGGTACTACCTGAAGACTGAGGATAATGCAAACCCATAAAGCTAAGTGCATGTGAGCCAGTTAGAATCAATCTCCAAAGGAACGGTCTGATGTTTGGTGGCTGGTTGTCACTGAAAAAGACACAGCAAGTGAGGGGAATACACTGATGTAAAGTGTGGTGCTGCATTTTGCAAAGCTTTGGATCACTATTTACCATGGGCAATGCTGCAATGTGTAGGGTGTGTGGTTCTAATAAAGGCCTGCGGACTATTGGAAGTGATCCATATCTGGAGCGTTACTACAACTATGAGACGGATACTATGGTAAGGGCATCTTAATGACACCTCAGATCAGTAGAGGATTGTTGATGTAATTTACCACTGGAACCAATACACGCTAGTACTAACTCAGAATCTTTAGCAACTACTATGATTGCAGTTAATGTGTCATTTAGAACATTTGGTATATTAAATCTTAACAGTGTTATGCCATTGTCATGTACTGAGCTGCATATAATTCCTAATTAGTTTGATATTATTTACATAAAAGAAGATTTTTTTTGAGAAATGTCTTTACAAAGGAACAAAGGAATACATGGAAATGAAATCAACAGCCAATAAAACGGTTTGGATACCCAGGGATCATGCTAATCTTCTCTGTATCAAACCAATTTTAGTATATGTGATGTCTCAGGCAACATGAATGCCAACCGTCCTTAACAGTTTTTGTAAACGTAGCTATTATCTTAAAATTTTTGCCACTTTTATATTATTTAAGCAGTTTCATAAGATCTTGAAAGTGTTGTTAGCTTGAATAATTTATTTATTCATTCATTTTGCCTACAGTGCATTTTAAAAGTATTCATAGCGCTTGAGGTGAACCTGAAAAATTTGCTCAATACTTTGTTGATGCACCTTTGGCAACAATTACAGCCTCAAGTCTTTTTGAATATGATGCCACAAGCTTGGCACACCTGTCTTTAGGATTTTTTGCCCATTCCTCTTTGCAGTACCATTTAAGCATTGTCAGGTTGGATGGGAAGCGTTGGATGGTACAGCTAATTTCAAATCTCTCCAGAGATGTTCAATAGGATTTAGGTCTGGGCTCCGGCTGGGCCACTCAAGGAAATTCACCGAGTTGTTGTGAAGCCACTCCATTGATAATTTGGCAGTGTGCTTTGGGTCATTGTCCTACTGGAAGATGAACTGTCGCCCCATTCTGAGGTCAAGAACACTCTGAAGCTGGTTTTCATTCAGGATGTTTCTGTACATTGCTTCATTCATCTCTTCCTCTATCCTGACTAGTCTTCCAGTTCCTGCTGCTGAAAAACATCCCCATCATGATGCTGCCGCCACCATGCTTCACTGTAGGGATGGTATTAGCCTGGTGCTGAGCGGTGCCTGGTTTTTTCCAAACATACCGCCTGGCATTCACTGCAATGAGTTAAATTTTAGTCTCATCAGACCAGAGAATTTTGTTTCTGATGGTCTGAGAGTGAATAAATCCATTTTGGCATAAGGTTGTAAAATTGAAGCGCTTAAAAGTGAGCGCAAATTTGGTTTAATAAGATTTGGTAGATCCAAAAACCATTTCAAATCTGTTGGCATCCACATTTTGTAATGTGAAGGATGCTATACAACAGGGTTGAGGATCCACGTGCAGTTTATTACAAGAATGGTCTGGCAGGCAATGGTCAACAAGGTCAAACAGGTACATGCAGAGCAATCCAAACTCGTGGTCACAGAACAGACAAATAGTCAGTGAATCACTGAATCAAATAGTCAGCAATGAATCAAAACAAACTAACAAAGCAAGGGTCAAAACAAGGCGAGGCTAAAACAAAAAACCTGTTGTAATGCACACAGATAAACAAGACTCAGCCCTGAATAGTGTGTGTGTGTGGTTTATAAAATCCATATAGTGGTGGATTTGTAGTCCTTTAGCGATTTGCATGTTTACCAATGATTTGCAGCCGCTAGATCGCTGGTGCTCATAACACAACACAGTGTATCAAGCACTTTAACGTTTAAACATCATTGTTGTTATATCATGTTTAATAGTTAAATCTTTGAATTGTCACAAACTCATTTTGAACTTTTGTTGCCTGCTTGACTTCCTATAGTGTGCAGGGCTACTTCATGAACCAACGTTTAGTCTCTGTTTAACTTTGGATCCCACACGTGTTGGGTTATGACCTCTGGACCTCAAAAGGAGCAAAGGTCAGGAGGTCATGCCTCGAATATTTTGGTCAATAGCTTGTGGTGACCAGACACAGTAAAGCTTCACACTCTACATGACCTGAGAGTTACTGATCTATAAATTAACACCTTAAATACTACTGCCAGAGCTTAATTATCTTAAATGAGATCTTAGTATTAATGTTATTCTTCGAATGGCAAGGCTTTCAGTGCATAACTGTACACACATACATATCTGTGTGTGTGTGTGTGTGTGTGTGTGTCATGTCAGCTGCCTTCATTCTGTTTTGCTGTCTATATTTAGCATAGTTATAGTCACACAATTCTGATAAGAGGAGATGCTAGCAAATGCTAGCATGATATAAATGATACAAACATGCTTCTAGAATAGTCCCACCATGGCACACAAACATGCTGTTCATCCATTCAAAAGCCATAGCAACATGACAGCTATACATGACAGCTACATGATGAAAGCAGTATAGTGATACGTGCTATAGTCACACTAAAACATACAATGAAACATCCCTGCTAAAAAAAAAACATATGTTGGTAAGGTAAGTTTTGATGTAGGTCTTGCTGGTTTCAGTGCTGGTCTTGCTGGTTTTAGTGCTGGTCTTGCTGGTTTTAGTGCTGGTCTTGCTGGTTTCAGTGATGGTGTTGCTGGTTTTAGTGCTGGTCTTGCTGGTTTCAGTGATGGTGTTGCTGGTTGTAGTGCTGGTCTTGCTGGTTTCAGTGATGGTGTTGCTGGTTTTAGTGCTGGTCTTGCTGGTTTCAGTGATGGTGTTGCTGGTTGTAGTGCTGGTCTTGCTGGTTTCAGTGATGGTGTTGCTGGTTTTAGTGCTGGTCTTGCTGGTTTCAGTGATGGTGTTGCTGGTTGTAGTGCTGGTCTTGCTGGTTTCAGTGATGGTGTTGCTGGTTTTAGTGATGGTCTTGCTGGTCTCAATGCTGGTCAGCAAATCTAGCATTGAAACTAGCAAAACCAGCACTAAAATCAGAAAGACCAGCATAACAGCATTAAAACATACCAACATATGCAGTGATGCTATAATGTCAAGGCAATAAGCTAAAATATGCTAACAACATACTAAAACCCTATCTATCTATCTATCTATCTATCTATCTATCTATCTGTCTGTCTGTCTGTCTGTCTGTCTGTCTGTCTGTCTGTCTGTCTGTCTGTCTGTCTATCTATCCCAGTGGTCACCAAGCTTGTTCCTGGAGGGCCGGTGTCCTGCAGATTTTAGCTCCAACCCTAATCAAACACACCTGAACAAGCTAATCAAGGTCTTACTAGGTATGCTTGAAACACCTAGGCAGGTGTGTTGAGGCAAGATAAAGCCAAACCCTGCAAGGACACCTGCCCTCCTGGACCGAGATTGGTGACCCCTGATCTATCCGTTCGTCCGCCTATCTGTCTGTCTGTCCGTCTATCTATCTATCTATCCGTTTGTCCGTCCGTCGGTCCATCCATTTATCTATCTGTCTGTCTGTCTGTCCGTCTGTCTGTCTGTCCGTCTGTCCGTCTGTCCGTCTGTCCGTCTGTCCGTCTGTCCGTCCGTCCGTCCGTCCGTCCGTCCGTCCGTCCGTCCGTCCGTCCGTCCGTCCGTCCGTCCGTCCGTCCGTCCGTCCGTCCGTCTGTCCGTCCGTCCGTCCGTCCGTCCGTCCGTCCGTCCGTCCGTCCGTCCGTCTGTCTGTCTGTTTGTCTGTCCGTTCGTCCGTCCACAACAATTAAAAGAACCACAATTTGAAGTGAAGCGCGTTTTAAAAATCTAAAGAACCTTTTACACTAGGAAGAGCACCGGACGCCAACATTACTGCCTATTTTTAGAAAATGTATGTCACATTGCAGTGACAAAATAAGTCAAACAGTCTTTGTTTACACGAATATCGCTTTGCAATCTGTCATTGTTTTAGAGCTGCACAGAGGTTTTCTGATGTTTTCCCTGTTGGTTTGATTCTACAGTCGGACAGTAACACCAGCTTCCTGCGAGCAGCCCGGGCAGGCAACATTGAAAAGGTGCTTGAGTTCCTCAAGAGCGGACAAGACATTTCGACATGCAACCAGGTAACTTATAACAAAAACACTCTTTCATACTTTTGAGACCAAGAAATGAATGCACCAGTTTCTTATAGCTTTTCTCTCAGCCTAAATGCATTATTTCATACATAATTCAACAACCTGGAAGTGTTGCACACTGTAACATTTCAACGCAGTTCTTAGATTTTGTATTTATATGAATATGATCTAATCTGTGGGAATCTGTTGACTAATGCTAAATTTGAAGACCTCTGATTTCCAAGAATCAGGCTGCTGTAAACTTCTTTCCAGCTTAAGAGACAGGTTCTTTCAACTCTCTGTTAGCTATACGGTTTTTAGAAAGTCCTGGTAGATTGTACTTTGTGAGAAGGGGATAATCCCGATTATTTTAAATGTGTATGTTTTTAGTTTGCTTTCACCCATTGTTGTCTAGCCTGGGCAAAAGCTACATTGACAGAAGCGCTGATTCCTGCAAATGGTGCAGTGCCATCATGACATCACAGGCTATATCTCTGCCAGGCAGTTCTTTCTAGTACATCAAAGCCTTTTTACTTGTGCGTGTCTCTGGCAGCTGTTCACACTCGCGACCTTCTGTACCTTCTGCATTACCAAACCCTCCCACTGCCACACTGCTGTGTTCAACCTCTTTCAAATTACCAGTGGGATAATATGTTTTATTTTTTGACTTGCAAAGTTTAGATAGCAATACTGAAATGGAAACAATTCAATTGTAAGTCGCTTTGAACAAAAGTGTCTGCTAAAGACTAAATGTAAACGTAAAAAACAAAAACTTTCCTTACAGTCAGATATGACTAGGTCGTCTTTTTTTTTTTAGCAGTAAACAAAAGATTGCACATGCAAAATTAGCATTTATTGAGGTTTAGCGGAGGTACAAATGACAAAATTGTTAACAAGTCCTCTTCAAGTTCTGTTTTAGTGGTGTGTGCTGATTAAAAATGATATGGTAAATGAAGTACTGAGAGTTGCAGTCTAACAAACAAATCCAGAAACCATGATATCCTGGAGGAAAGAGTTTTATGTGCCTGATTGTTGCTTCTGTTTTCTATAAGGTTATTTTTGGGTGTTGCATAAAATATAAACATAAAAGAAATGTTTCAACTTACTGAATTGTCACTTCAAGTCACTAAAATGTCCAATTTTAAACAATAAAGTTTAATCAGTAGAATTAACACATAAAATTGATTTACTAAGAAAATATCACATATATAATATATTATATATGTGAAATATTTTGTTTGGACCGCACATTACAGATTGTAAAAGACTGAATCATATGGACTTAAAGGAAACTATGTTGGTGTTTATGCTTATAATACAGTACCTTTTACGGGTGGGTTGGGCTGGGGGGCTAATGGGAGAGTAACCTGTACTATAAAAACGACTGTATAAGAAGAATGTAATAGTTGTATGTGATGCCTCTGGTGATCTGTTTGTTCCGTTATGTTAAAACGAATAAAAACAAAAGTAAAAAAAAAAAAAAAACTTGATTTACTAATAACTTAATTGCATATTTCACAATATAAAGTTTTCATATTTTAAAAAAAACAACCATTTTTTTCTGACTTAAATAGAAAGAAAAAAGACGGTTGCCATAAATCAATAAAATAAATAAATTGATAAATTTAGAGAAAGAAAGAAAGAAAGAAAGAAAGAAAGAAAGAAAGAAAAGAAAAGATATTTTGAACTGTATTTGGCTGAAACTTCTAAAATAACAAAAATGCCTCAATGGAAGTTAGTAATATTCAGATTTTTTAAAATTAACAGTTGCTAATTTATCATGATTGTTGTGTACTTTTTGTTTATTTTGAATTCCATTATGGAACATAAACAAAGTTTTAACAAAGTAAAAGAAATAAAAAAATATAAAAAATATACTATATGCTATATATTCATGCGTATATATTTATTTAGATAAATTTATTTAAATTGTAGTTTATTAAATACAATTATTTACCTCTATCATTTTATTATACAATACACTTAATATTACAAATAATAATTATTTATATAATATTTTATGTACTATAAATGTATTTAAATATGTAAATATTTATGTTATTTTTAATAGCAGTATGTAGTTAAATATGATTAAAGACAGAAATTATCATTAGTCATTTTTACTATATATTTTGTCAGAAATTGCAATATATTTGCAGAATATATTATATTTTATACAATGTAAAACCCAACAGTTAAATTTATCAAATGAGATGACGGAAGTAAACTCACAATTTACTGAAAGTTAATTCTGCTCATTTTCATCTCAGTTCCCAGTATTCATATAGATTAGTTTAACTCAAATGGTTTGTAGCAATCGTTTTCCTCAAACGATTTGAGTTGCCTTTACTTATTGGGTTTTATAATACTCAGTTGGTTTGAGTTTTACGGTGCGCAAATTGCTTTATTTACAGTTCACAGTACTCATTAGGATTAGTTTTTGAACTTAAATGGTTTGTTTCAATCAGTTTTCTCAAATAGTTTGAATTACCCTACTTTATTTGGTTTTACTGGGTATAATAAATATATTTCTTTATAAAATGCATATTTTTAGAGCTTGAAATATCTAGAAAAAAATGTTTTAAAACTGACTATTTAAGAGGTTTCTAATTCCCTTGATAAAAATGATTTGAGCGAATTAAATAAAATTAGACAGCACAGCAGCTTAAATCTTGAGTTTAAGTTTATTTCAAAGCATTTTTTTTCTTTGCATACATTTAAAAAAAAAAAATTATATTTTTGATCTTGAAATATCTAGAAAAATGAACATGTTTTAAAACTGACCATGGCTATTTAAGATAGTGTAACGAGGAGACTGACACGGAGGGATCCATTATGCAGTATTTATTGCTCAAACTCTTATTCACACACACAATATCACTAACATGCAAACACACAACAACAACAGTCTATGATGAATAGACTGGCGATGAACAGACACAGGGAGTATTACCAGGCATAGATCGAGGGCAGGCTGCAAGTATCAGAGTCCGTGAACCAGGCGTGGGTCGTGGGCAGGTAGCGAACATCAGAGTCCGTTTAACAGGCGTGGTTCGTGGGCAGACAGCGAGTATGAGAGTCCGTATACAATGCGTGGGTCGTGGGCAGGCAGAAGGCGAAGCAGAGTCAAAAAACAGGCTGGAGTAATACACGAGGAATCAGGCAGGAATAACGCTCAGAAATGCTGGCCGGGGCTAAACAAGACTTCGCACTGAATGAGCGTTTGGTGCTGGCTTAAAAAGGGTACGTGGGTCATTAGCGGGATTCAGTTCAGGTGTGCATGATCAGAGTAAATGGATGATGTAATGCTTAGAAGTCCGGAAATGGTGGCCTCTGCTGGCCAGCGAGGGGAATGACTGGGACCGAGTCGGTGACAGATAGATTTAAAGCTATTTAAGAGTCTAATTATTTTATTTCCATATCAGGTCTAGAAAGTCTTTTTCAGGTCACACCTTTACATTTCATCATATTTTTACTCATTTAAATCATCTAGAAATATTATTTATGAAATTAATCTAGGTGGTTCATTCCGCTGTGATGACCCCTGATGAATTAGGGTCTAAGCCGAAGAGAAATAAATCTAGACTATAACAGAAAGCAGCTCCTTTTTGTATTTATTTATTTAGGTTTCAAGAGTTCACACTTAGCTGATGATCTACCAAAAGCTTGTTTGGCATGCTGTCCCGGAAGAGAGCCCTGAGCTCAAGGGATCCTCGAGCCCCGGGCTCCCTCCCGTTCGCAGAGCGAGAGGGTAGCTTGAGCTCGGTGGAACTTAGAATTCCCCCGCTCCAGTAGCTAAGTAAACACGTGAGAAAAAGAGGGCTAGACAAGTGCTTGATTGTTAGGCATGATGTATATCCGGAGAACCTGGGGAAAACCCACACGGACATGGGGAGAATATACAAACTCCTCACAAAAACACCCACCGGCCTGGCAAAACCAGGGCCGGCAGTGCTAACCACTTGGCCGCCGTGCCGCCCGATATATGGTAAAGGAGGAGAATGGGGAGGAAGGGGATTTCTTCCAAACAAAGATAAAATGGACTGAAGACTGTGGTTATTTATAGTAGCTTATAGGACTCATAAAATTGGAAGATCATGATAAGCTAATACGAGACCGTGATAAATCATAAGCACGTGATCCTCTCGAAATTAGTTTATAAACAAACTTCAGTTAATTGCTTCATAATTTTATCTATCATTTCAAACTAGAAATGTAAATAAAAGTCACTTTGGTATTTAAAATCAGAGTCAGAGCTAAGATCTGAATCCTCAAACGCAATGCAATAGCATAAATAGATAGACAACCAAATACAATAAATAGCTTATTCATGTTTTGCAACTTTTTTTTACAGTATGATTACTTATTTATTTTTAAAAGTTCAATACCATAGGATTTTTATGACCCCTTTATTACATAACATGTGAATTTGCCTCTGCTCTGATGTATAATAGGTTTTACTCTGTCATTTTCTCTTATGATGTTATGTGGAGTCAGCAGTAACGAGCACAACAATGGACAGACGTTTCATGCCTTTTTCTCTAAACTCCACTCTTCTAATCCTCACTGAGTGATATTGCAATATAATCTGCCCATGTTTTAGCTGTTTTTCCCCCTTTCCACTCTTTCACCGGAATCCCTCTCTCCGGATGTGAAAAAGTCCTCCAGCTTTCATTATCCAAATAAATGAGATTAGTGTGCGGTTAATTCTCTCCGCTGTCACTGACGAGTCTGAATGTTACACAAGAGCTGTCAGACACGGGACGAGTTGCATTAGTAGATGAAGACAGGTGCTGATAAAGGGAAGGCCTATTTGCAGCATGAGAAAAAGAGATTAAATGCTACTATTCCACGCTTAACACGGAAGCTTGAGTTACTAATAACATAAGTGACTTTGGATGTGATATAACAACTAAAATATGTAATAATTATTCTGTAATGTCTATTCTGTACGCATGGGAATTTCAAATGGAGCTCTGGAGAAAAGTAAAAAATAAATTAAAGTAAAAGAAAGTGTATAAAATATACAGTAAAATAGTAATGTGGCTGACTCACAAAATATAGTTATTTATGTTTTTTTATTTTAAATGTTATTTTATTGTTTTATTATATACAATTATTTACCTACATCATTTTAATGTATAATTTACATTTATTTAAATAAATAGTTACATGTTTATGTCATGTTTAAAAGCAATATGTAGTTAAAAATATATATAATTAAAAACAGAAATTATAATAGAATAAAAAAATAATAATTATAATTATTATGAGAACATTTGCATTTAGTTATTGTTTATTATGTTTAAGACATGAATTGCAAAATATTTTAAAATATATAATTTTAGAGCTTAAAATATTTAGGAAAAAAAATATATATAAATCTTGGATGTCTTAGATGTTTGTAATTTCCATGATTTTTAATATATACAACCCAGTGTAAGAAATAAAATGAAACAGCACAGCAGCTTACAGCTTGAGTTTTAGTTTATTTCAAGGCATTTATTTCTTAATGTGTGGGATTTTCAAATTGGGGTCTGAGGAAATATAAAATAATTAAAAATCTATATACAGTAAAATCATAATTTGTCTGATTGACTAACTGAATGCTATACATTCATTAATATGTGTTTAATTGTATTATTATTTTATTATTTACCGTTATTTACCGATATCACTTTCCGGCCACTTTATTAGGTACACCTGTCCAACTGCTCGTTAACACAAATTTCTAATTAGCCAATCACATGACAGCAACAGAATGCATTTAGACACGTAGACATAGTCAAGACAATCTGCTGCAGTTCAAACCGAGCATCAGAATGGAGAAGAAAGGTGATTTAAGTGACTTTGAACATGGCATGTTTTTTGGTGCCAGACGGATTGGTCTCAGTATTTCAGAAACTGCTGATCTAATGGGATTTTCATGCACAACCATCTCTAGGGTTTACAGAATGGGCGCAAATGTCTTGTTGATGCCAGAGGTCAGAGGAGAATGGCCAGACTCATTCGAGCTGAAAGAAAGGCAACAGTAAATTAAATAACCATTTGTTACAATATATATCTTACATTTTGAGTTTAGATTATTTTACAGCATTTATTTCTTGATTGACTGTGATATTGTGAATCATGAGCAATTGTTTATTTCCTGATTTCCCTAATAACCTAACATCAAATCTGCATTAATACATTTTTTAATCATATCTCTCCCTCCACATGTTCAGAACGGACTCAATGCGCTTCATCTCGCAGCCAAAGAGGGTCACGTGGAGCTGGTGGAGGAGCTTCTGGAGAGAGGGGCGGCTGTGGACTCCTCAACCAAGGTTAAACACCCATAAACACTCACAAACTGGACACATGATTCCCAAATGACCAGAGAGAATGACAGACATCCAGGAATATGATGAGCAGAGCAGGACTCGGGTGACTTCTGTCATCTGACGGACACACACACAAATGCACACACACAAGCACTCGCACTGACTGTAAACAAATAAGCAGCAATCACACTGACAGCGAGAGCTTTATACTGCAGGGACGAAAGCTTTGGAGACTTTATGTCGGTCAAAAATGTGATTATTTTAGTGCTTTTTCATACCATTTGTTTTATTATGGACAAGATCTACAAAAGTCCTTTCTGTTTTTTAGGACAGCAGAGAGCAAATCAGGTCATTTGTCTTATGCAGGCACAAAATGGCAGATAGATTTATGATCAATAGCTTAAAAAGGGATAGTTCACCCAAAAATGAACATTTGCTAAGTATTTATTCAACCTCTGGTGATTCCAAACCTTTATATGTTTCTTTATTCAGTTGAAGACTAAAGAAGAGATTTTGAAGAAAGCTGTAATCCTGTAACCATTGACTTCCATAGTATAAAACAAAAGTCAATGGCTTCAGGTTTCCAGCGTTCTTGTATCACAATGATTTGAAACAAGTAAAGGGTGAAAAAATTATGACAAAATTTCCAGTTTTGGGTCAACTGTCTCTTTAAGCTTAAATGTCACTGAATTGTGTTAGTTTTGTGCTTGATAAAATACAGCTTTAGGGAAATTAATATATACTCAATATACTGTTTTTTTCTCTGTTTTACTTTATATTATAATAAATATTCAGGATATTTTCTGGATTACTGATGATTTTTAACAATGTCTTATTAGATCCAAAAGACAATAAATGCACTGATTTTGTCCAATATTAAATTTTAAAATGGTTTATTCATGAAAACACAATCACATTTAAAAACATTTACAAATGTGAATGTTTCAGCCTGATCTCACAAGGAATCTCACTTTGTCAGTTTAGTGGCTAATTCGTAGGAATTCATACGAATTCAAATGTACAAAAATGTGCAATTTTAAAAAGAAGGCGTGGCACCCAACCCCACCCCTAACCCCAACCGTCATTGGGTGATGAGCAAATCGTACTAAATTGTACGAATTAGATTGTACAAATGCATACAAATTAGCCACTAAATTAAAAAGTTACGAATTGCCGTGAGATTGTGTTGGAATGTTTTCAATCTTTTGTCAGGTTGTGTAAGACCTAATACACTGTAAAAAAAATGCAGGGTTCCAAACTATTTATTTATGCTGTCTCAACATAAATCGATTAGGTCAACATAACACATTTAAGTGGATTGAACATGAAACAATGAAGTTATCACTTGAAAATTTCCAGAATTGTGTTGTTTCAGCTCATTTTAAATAAGTTGTTAGAAAAAGCAGCAAATGTCTTTTTTTTTGCAACTAGGCTCATTCTGAAAACGTAGCCCTATATACATTTCTTGAGATTGCAAATTAGTCAAAAGTATGTATGGCTGCATTTCATTTTTAAAATGAACACTACAGGTGGTATGACGCCATTCCTTTTTGCAATTACCAGCTGACCGCTTACCTCCGTATGGACGTTTTTCCTGCTGCTACTAGTTTGTCCAGTAGCTCTCCATGCACATCGACGGACTTAAGTCGCAAAGAGAACTTGCCCACGACAGCGAGGTCCGAGTCTGGTGAAGAATGTTCCAAAAAGCGGGAAAGACAAAAATAAAATAAAAAAATAAAATAACCAAGTAAATATAAGGGTGAGAATGTGGTAAAATCTGAAAACATGATAAAAATCAGGCGAGGGCTTTTCTTTTACTGAATTGCTTTTTAAAACTGTCTGTTGGGTTTAGGGAAGTGAATAGACAGGTCAATCTGTGCTATTGAAAACACTATTGGTTGGGTTTAGGGAAGGAGGAGGATGGGTCATTCGGTTAATCAGTCAGTCATTCAGTCAATTAAACAGTAAGTCGACAGCAGCTTCTGGTGGATTTACGCAAGAAGAGCAGGCACGAATGGCACTCGCGAGAGAAATTTGAGATATAAAAAAAATGTACACAGCGGCCTTTGGTGGATTCGCAAAAATAAAAACTGCAAAAAAAAAAAAAAAAAGTAGCTTCTGGGATGTATTAGGCGCTCTCCAGAAATCTATATAGAGGTTCGTTTTCAGAATGAGCCTGGGTTGCTTTTTTGAGTGGATCTTGTGCAATCTTGCTTCCCAAGTAACTCACTCTGTACAGAATACAAATAAATGCAGTAATTAAATGTGAATACGTATCTTTCTGTCCTCTTCAGAAAGGAAACACTGCACTGCACATCGCTTGTCTTGCTGGGCAGAAAGAAGTTGCAAAGTTGTTGGTGAAAAAAACAGCAGATGTGAACTCTCAATCTCAGGTGAGAGAAGCCTGAAAAAAGTTATTATTATAAGAAATAATCGCATAATACACAAAATAATTATTTTCGTTTTTGAATGATAAAACTAAAGTATTTATAATGTAATAATAAATAACATCATATTATAATTGATTATTATATTAATCTTCATGGTAACCTGCATTTTACTCCAGAATGGCTTCACTCCGCTTTATATGGCTGCTCAAGAGAATCACCTGGATGTTGTGCGATATCTACTGGAGAACGGCGGAAACCAGAGCATGGCCACAGAGGTTTTTGATTGACAATTCCTTCTCTCTCTCTCTCTCTCTCTCTCTCTCTCTCTCTCTCTCTCTCTCTCTTTCTCTCTCTCTCTCTTTCTCTTTTTGCGTACTTGTTTATGTGGTTCACACAGACAAAATTGCATAATGACATGGGTTTGACCTAGTTGTACTTTATTAAGTTGGTTTACGAAGATATGCCTTGTGTCCTTGTAATTCAATATGCTTAAAAACCATATTATTCACATTCAATTTACCACAGTTATCCTGTGAGGGTTGGGTTTAGGCATAGGGGTATGCTCTATAAATAAAGTTATAAAAAGCTGTTTTTACAGTAGAGATACTATAGAATCCATTATGTCTATGGAGAGTCCTCATTAACCATATAAACAACATTTGTGTGTGTGTATGTGTGAGTGCTTGCATGCTTTTGTGACATAACAGAAATTTGTATCACAAATTTAATGCAAATTTGTATAATGATGTGGGTATGACAATGCTATATCTTTTGCATGTTGGTGATAGGAATTCAAACTGTTTTGATAATATTCAAGATAGAAAATATTACACAGGAACTTTTCGGCTACTTTTCCCCCAGAATCTGCATCTGTATTGACATTTAGAAGTATTTACAGACTGTTATTGCAGCCCCAATGTACAATTTGGTTACCTACATCTTCAAAATAACTTGATAACTTTAAAATAGATTTAAAGAAAATTAATGGGTTTGAAATAGCATGAAATAGGCATGTTTGATTCGTGAAAGCAAAACAATTTTAAAGTCAGGGTAAATGTGAGAATGACTAGCTGGGTTAAATCTGCTTTCGGTAGATTCATGAGTATTGGGTGCCTGCTAATGTAATAGCTCCTATGTTAAATGTCCTATGGTGATGTTTGTTAAACCTGATCACAGCTGTACTTTCAAGTCTGCTTTTGACCCAGAGACAGCCGTTTTCATGAAGGCTATGTTTATTACAAACACTCAAACTATCTCAGAGAGACAGGAATAACAGTTTATAAATGCTTCAAGTACATGTTATGTTTCAATTATGCTGTCGGTTTATAGTTCAGATATAAACACTGACGCCAAGAGTCGCAAACAAAATAGAATAAATCACTTGAAGCTTCAACATTTTAATAATGCTATCAGGTTGTATTTCAGATATAAACACTGATATATAGAGTAGCGGTCAAAATAGAATTAATAAAGTAGCTTGACACTATATCTATGCAAATAAGTGGCTACACGCATATAGGTAAAATATGGGGTTTCACTGTCATTTCAAGAGTTCACACTTAGCTGATGATTGATTATAAGCAAGTTTGGCATGCTGTCCCGGGAGAGAGCCCTGAGCTCAAAGGTTCTTGAGCCCTGGGCTCCCTCCCGTTTGAAGGGCGAGAGGGGAGCCTTGAACTCAGGTAGATCTCGACAACTCCCCCTTGATAAAAACTGATGACTAAAAATTGAATGCTATGAAAAGATGTTCTGCAGGGTGAGAGATTAACTGTAGTGCAAAATTTAGATTTATCAATTTACCTGTTGTGCATGTTTTTGGAATGTGGGAGGAAACCGGAGGACCCGGGGAAAACCCACGCAAGCACGGGAAGAACATGCAAACTACACACAGAAACGACCACCGGCCTGTTATAGGACTAGAACCGTTGACGTTCTTGCTGTGAGGCAACAGTGCTAATCACTGGGCCACCGTGCTGCCCTATGGAGGGAAAGGTGAAGAGGTAGGGGTGGAAGGGGGGATTCTTCAAATCGAAGATGACTGTAGTGAAAAAACCCTGGCTCTTTATAGTGGGTTAGGAATGGCCTGATTGGTGGATCATGCATGCTAATGCAGAACCAGCCGTGTTCAATCATAATCATGTGCTCCTCTCTAAATTAGTTTATGAATAAACTTCACTTAATAACAGTAAATCTTCAAGTGTTTTTTTTTTGTTAAACCTTTAGTAAATTACCTTTTATTTTGATGTCTGTTCAGAATTTTTTGATAATTGTGATCTCTGTTTAAATGAGATTTGTAATTCTCTCAATTTTGCAGCTCTTATTTACAGTGTGATTTTGATTATTATATTACATGTCTCTCTCTCTACATATATTCTTACTATGTTGTATTGAGTGAGTCATACCATTTTCTGTATTGTTTAGATATCTAATCATCTAGTCATGTGACATAATGCTTGTTTAAATGAACAACAAATGCTGTTTTTAATATACAATATTTAATATACTTTTTGAAACTGTTATTACTACTTTATAGAGTGCCTCGGAGTGATGATTTTGCATGCTTAAAGAATCCCCTCTGAAGCTCCTTTTGTTTGTTTCGAATGTTATGTTTTAATGATGATTGTTAATCTCCCTCTATATCTCTCTCTCCTATCTATCTATCTATCTATCTATCTATCTATCTATCTATCTATCTATCTATCTATCTATCTATCTATCTATCTTTTCACTGTGTTTTTGTAGGATGGCTTCACTCCTCTGGCCATTGCTCTCCAGCAGGGTCATAATCAGGTAGTTTCTCTGCTTCTTGAACACGACACGAAAGGGAAAGTCCGTCTGCCTGCACTCCACATAGCTGCCCGCAAGGATGACACCAAATCTGCTGCTCTGCTGCTCCAGAATGACCATAACGCTGATGTCCAGTCTAAGGTGAGAACAATAGTGGGGATTCAGTGTTCATGCTATGCCACAGATATTCTATCACAGTAATTCTATCATGCACATGTGTATTCATATAACAATACTTTTGAGGTCTAATAAGGTAACCTAAAACTAAAAACAAAGTCATTTATGTTCCTTCAAATAATAATGAAATAATATTAAAAAATGTAAACTTTTAACCTATGTATATTTGTATATTTTTCACATTCATTTAATATGTTGATGTAGTGAAATTACTAAACTTAAAGTATGTAATACTATATACATATACATTTGAATACTATATAAACATAATATACATGTATTAAATAATGGCAAAAACGTTCACACATTAAAAAAAGACTTAAATTAAAAAATAAATAAATACAAAAATAAAATGTGTGTAAAAATTAACTATATTAGTATATCTGTAGTATATGGTAGTATTAAAATAACCCTGTTTCATCATAATAAAAACATATTTGGACATAATTATGCATTGTTTCAACATTCAGCATAGTATTGAGTTTGTTGAATTATGTAAATACTTGTTATATCAATGTGCTGAACACTTATTGAGCTAAGATGAAAAGGGGCTTTCATGCATCAATTCAATTAAAATGTAATATAGTACATTTAAATTTTTCCCTCTATTATAGATTTATCGAAAAAATTATGGAAAACATATATTTTAAAACATTCCCAGTACTGGGTTGCAGCTGGAAGGGCATCCGCTGTGTAAAACATACAGGTATGCTGGATAAGTTTGTGGTTCATTCCACTGTGGCGACCCCAAATTAATAAAAGGGACTAAGCCAAAAAGAAAATGAATGAATTGATTCATATTTTTGAGCATTAAATGAATTCAAACAGAATATAGTACGTTCAAATTTAGCCTCTTTTATTGATTGATTGAATATATAATGGAAAACATATGTATTTTTAGCTAAACAATAGATTACGTAGAAAACTATTAAAGCATATTTAATTGTTAAGGCATATTTAGAACAGAAATATTAAAATTATATTTTAAAAGACTCACAGGGACTCAAATGATTATATGGCAGTCCCAAAAACAATTCATTGTAATAATCATAAATATATACATTACCAGTGTCCATCACACCACTAGAATTTTGCCATTGGTCAGCATGAAGTGTTTAATCATATCAATTATAATAACATTCACATGAATTATTCTCTAACGTACATTAATATCTCAGAACAATGTTTAAATTTTACTTTAAAATATATATGTTATGTCGAATTTATATTAAATTACTTTCATCAACTAAACAGTCTTGTCTCTGACTCTTATACCATCATTTTACCATAGAATCACTGTACATTGTTCAAAGATTTAGTTTAAGCTTTTTATTATTATTATTATTATTATTAATTTCCAATGTTTTATCAAGTCATTAATCCTGCAGCTACTGAGTGTAATATAAAAACATTTGCTTGCCTTTGTATGTTCACTTAATTATGTTAGTGCTTTTGACAGTTAAACATGTATTTAATGTTACTAAAAATGCTGCATTTCCTCCCTCATGTGCGACTCTGTCAGATGATGGTCAACAGGACTACAGAGGTATTAAGACTCTCAGCAGAATCCTGCATTCGTCTCGGCTGTTATAAAGCCTAATGTGTTACTTAACACTGACAATTTCTCTTACATCGCATGGAGTCCTTATCAGTGTCGTAGCGCATGCCACATTGTTGTTTTTGTTTTATTAGTAGCCCCGTGTTTCCTCAAAAAAAAAAAAAAAAAAACCTATAGGGGTTTCTTGCTCATCAACACAATTATTTCAGTGAACATTTTGAGTAGGAATCAAGGTTTCTTGATCAAGGAACTTTATTTTTTAAATTATTTTGGCTCATTTTACAAGTCACCTAGAGTTCAATAGCTAAGTTTTACCATATTTGAATCCATTCAGCTGATCTCCATGTCTGGCTGGAGCACTTTTAGCATAGCTTAGCATCATTCATTGAATCAGATTAGACCATTAGCATCGCATTCAAAAATCTGTTTTTATTTTTCCTATTTTCTGAAGTTACATCTATGTAAGTATGACAGAAATGAAAAGTTAATATTTTCTAGGTTGATCATGGCCAGGATCTCTACTCTCATTCTGGATTAATAATCAAGGAACTTTGCTGCCGGACCATGAAATTAATTATTTTTAGATATTTATAAGTACAGTATGTGACTTTATTGCAAACACTTCCCAGGTTTTTCCAATGTTCCTGATGTTTTTACAGCTTCTTCCAGTTGACAGTCTCCGCACCAGCTTACCTGCGAACCATCAATAATGAAAAAGACCAGGATACATAAAGCAGGTTCATTCCCCATCTATATGCACACGTCACTGCCTTATTCAATGTAAAGTGGTTCACTGAGTACACTGGTTGAATTGTAGGCTCACACAGATCGACCCAACTATTGATCTGTAGTGTGATAGGTGTCATTCGGGTTTAGGCACTTCATCCCATGTATTCTAAACATGTTCAGCTCTTTCCTCATTTTGGGAGTGCAGTATTTCATACTCTCTTTCAGCCATTACTTCTATAAATATAGCACCGTCACCTATTATTGTTTGGTGAGATGCCTAATTATACAATACCCACTGACGTTTTAAACTTTGTGACTTTTCTTACATTGCTTGCTAGACTTGTAATTTTGTTAAACTGGAAGAGACCCTGGCCAGCCTCGCATGTACGATGGCTGAAAGATGTTCTGTATTTTGTGAAACTAGAGAAGATTAGAAACTCCCTTCAAAGACATAACAGAATGTTCTTAAAATCTGGAAGCCCTTTTTTCTTGTTAAAACTCTCCAGCTGTTTGACGCCAGTAGACTGGTGACCCATGCTCACAGCGACCCGAGTTCGATTCCCGGCTCAAGTTCCTTTGCAGATCCTATCCCCACTCTCTGCTTTCCATGAATTCCAGTCTCAACTCCCTAGTCCTGTATAATAAGGTTAAAAAAAATACTCTCCAGCTGGATCTAGACTGATCACCCTTGCTAGTTCTTAACAATAATAACACATCAGTTTGTAATCTTTTATTACTTGAATTGTAACTTTGAGTTTGTTGCATAAATGTAAATATCTGCCCCTCATTTACTTATGTAATTGGGTTTTATTTAATTTATTCATTCATTCATTCATTTTCTTGTTGGCTTAGTCCCTTTATTAATCCGGGGTCGCCACAGCGGAATGAACCACCAACTTATCCGGCAAGTTTTTACGCAGCGGATGCCCTTCCAGCCGCAACCCATCTCTGGGAAACATCCACACACACACTACGGACAATTTAGCCTACCCAATTCACCTGTACTGCATGTCTTTGGACTGTGAGGGAAACCGGAGCACCCGGAGGAAACCCACGCAAAGGCAGGGAGAACATGCAAACTCCACACAGAAACACCAACTGAGCCGAGGTTCGACCGAGCGACCTTCTTGCTGTGAGGCGACAGCACTACCTACTGCGCCACTGCCTCGCCCATTTTATTTGTTTGATTTACTTATATTTTTTAAGGCTTGTTTGTTTTATTTGTAATTTGTGAAATATAAAAATGCTTAAAAATCATTAAAAAAAAGAAAAATTAGTGAGATGCTAATGGTCTAATCCGATTCAATGATTTATGCTAAGCTAAGCTAAAAGTGCTCCTGCCAAACCTGGAGATCGGCTGATTGGCTTTTAAAAATGGTAAAACTGAACGGTTTAACTCAAGATGACTTTAAAAAAGAGCCTATTTACAAAAAAAAAAAAAAAAAAAAGCGGAGTGTTGCTTTAAGTAGGTTAAACACTTCTCATAATTTTACAAACAGACTGAACAGACGTACTGTAATTGTGCATGCAAACTCATTCTGTCACTCTTTGTAGAAGTCTCTCGGTCACATTTTGCTGCACCTTTTTGTTAACTGTGTTTTCTAAATCGCACCATGTCTGTCAGAATGGAAAGGTAAGAAAAAAGGCTCCATCAGACAAACTCAGTAAGACAGACAATGCCAATTTCCATTATACATTCATCTTTAGCAACATGTAGTAGTGAGTAGTTGATGAATCACATTTGTTTGTTCAGATATTTTTATTCATCATCCTTTTTTCTGTCATTGTCACTGAGAAACTTCTCATCTCTTTAACAAAGGCTCACTGGAATGTGCTCATATATTATTATCATACAAATATAATCTTTCGGTTTTTCCTTCCATTAACGTTTTTTTTCTCCCGTTCATTCACTCTAGTGCATGCTGATCCATTGGTAGCAGATGAGAATCCAGACATTTCTTTAACTTTTCCATTCTTTCTTTATTTTTTGCACAAATGTGATGGTTCATTGGAATGCTGCATGGTAGATCATTAAGGATGGATGTTTAAAATGAGATAGAAGATCTTTATATTTACTCTGTTTCTCTGTCTCTTGTTCTGTTCCTTGTTTTATCCTAAAACTATTCCACCGTGTATCAGAGTGGCTTCACTCCTCTACATATTGCTGCTCATTATGGGAATGTAAATGTGGCCACGCTGCTGCTCAACAGAGGGGCTGCTGTAGACTTCACAGCCAGGGTATGAGCTTATACTGTTATATCCTTGCAAAAACATTGGGTTTAAATATCTGGTAATTAACAGTTTACGTATTTTGTGATTCACACCGGTTTTCTGTTTATTTTACAGTTGTGAATTGCATTATGGGATGTTGATCTCTGCTCTGTCAACTTTCGATGTAGAAAATTCAACTCTACCATTTAACAAATTGACATTTTAGTAATTTGAAATAATATAATGGATAAGAAACAATATATCGAAAAATAAGTCTGTAAAATAATTACGGTTAATATACAAAAATATATCTGGGATGATTTTGTCATATACATATAATATATACATATATACATATAAATGTTAATAAAAGTCACTTTTTCAAATTTGTCGAGGTTAAAAGTTGTTGGAAGAAAGTAGGCTTAGGCGGTATACAAATTATGATACCATCAAACCTCCTCCCTATTTTACCTCAGTATTATCGTGCATAATGAAAAAAAATATGATCTAAGGCTCAGACAGCATCACGAAACTGTTGGCTTGTGCGTAAACCATTCAGAAAATGAATATCATATGTGCGACGTTAGATTTGAAGTATTTCCATCTCAACACTTTTTTTGCAATTTGCAAATTACCTCTTCCATATTTACCACCTCTCCCTTCTCATTTACTCGAAACCCAAAACTCTGCAAAACTGCAGAAGTTGTGTTCGTTTTCCAGCCCAGGTCACTTGGTGTGCAACTTGCCATCTTTCCCCACCTCTCTCTTTCTCCTCCACGCTGTCCCATGATGACAACCACCTCCAACATCCTCGTCTCCTAAAAGTGCATTGTTTTTTTGACAGTATATCGGTATTGAAACTGATACCATTGCTATTTTTAGATCCTGCGGTATACCGTATTACCGCCCAAGCCTAGAAAAAAGATCAACGCCCTATAATGCAATTTAAAAGCATAAATAAACGCAAACGAATAAATAATAATTTATGGATGCTAATTCATGGATTTTTTTATGTGTATAAACTAATTTGTGTATGAAATTAAAATTTGGATTACTAAAAAACCATGGCCTGGACCACAAAACCTCGGTCTTATGTTGCACTGGCATATATTTGGCAATAGTCAAAATTATTGGTTTTTGTTTTATGCAAAAAATCACTAGGCTATTAAGCAAAGATCATTTGATGTTATTTAGTATATTTCCTACTGTAATAATATGAAAAATCACAATTTTATTTAGTGATTGGAATTGATGATTTGGATTTTGTTAATATTTGGATTTGTTTAACCTTCAGATTCCAGATTTTCAAAAAGTTCTATCTTCAGGATTACAATTTATCTTATGTTTCTGAATAACTAAAAGAACATACACAAAATACCACTTACTGTGAGTGTATATGTATGTTTAATTAAACAAAATATAATACAGATTTACATCTAGAGAGAAATAATATATTATATATAAATTTACATTTAAAGAAACAACCTTCGGTAACTTTATTTTGATGGATCATTCGAGTATTAGTAGACTGTCTGCTTAATATCTGTTTATACTGCTCCTTCAACAGACATTTAACTAACTACAAGAAACTTTGCAAGTACATGTCAGCTTACATTAACCCCAACCTTACAGTCTACTTATAATCTAATGAGAATAGGTTGGCAAGTAGATGCAATGTAACTTAAATGCAACAAACTGACCATCAAAATAAAGTGTGACCCTACTTCCTCTTTATAGCAAGTGGTTTCTTTGAATAACAATTCAGATTAAAAATTAAGTAATTGTACGAATATTTTGAGAAGGGCACAATTGGCTTAACAATATTGCTCTCAAAGTAAGTAGGGTGTATGCTAACATGCGCTGTAAATAACAGCATATTAACAAGTATAGTAAAGTAAAGGTTGTGCAGAAAGTCCTTATATTGAGATAAATAGGGTGTGGTATGCAAATTACTTCACGCATGTAGGTGATCGTTTAGAATACTCCTAAACATATGTGCATACACAGGTTGTGAATTAGGCGCAAAGTATTTGAACAAATGCTTAAACATGGGCTGTTTTTTTGTTCATGCATTGGTCATTTTTGAGATTTCGGTCGATTTGATTTTTCTTTTCATTTGCACTTTTAAGCATTTAGTTTGTTTGCTTCTAGATATATCATAGACATGCTATAAAGCTATTTTCCTAAAATACATATTTTAAGATAGTACTGAGCCAGAAATCTTAACTTCATAGCACTTATATACAATGAACACTTATATACAATGAACAACTATTACCATTGTTATTAGTTATACTAATACCATTGTCATAGTTATTATCATAGTTATTGTCATAGTTATTAGCTTATTAGCTTATTAAAATTTGCTTATTTTCCAAATAACAATAGTGCAATTCTTAGTGTTATTAATCAACTGCATATATTTTTTCTTTATTCATTCACCTGGGTTGTCTTGTATAGACTGAAAAAAATTAGCCCGGTTTAATCAGAAACCGACTTTAGCTCATTATTGTTTTATTTCCGTCACTGTATTTTTTACCCATGAATGCATTATCTTTCCTAAAAGATGTATTGTCTGTTTAGAATGGAATTACCCCTCTTCACGTGGCCTCCAAACGAGGAAACACCAACATGATCGCTCTGCTGCTGGACAGGGGATCTCAGATTGATGCCAAGACCAGGGTGAGTTTTTAGGCAGTGCCTCGGGCTGGTCAAAATTCAATAAAAGTTTGAACTATGGCGCTCTCTAGCGTCTGTTTCCTTAACAACAGCTCTGATGGAGGATTCTTAATTAAACATAAATATAAAAGGAAACAATGAGAGCTTAAAAATATGAACGTGGATTGCTGATTTGCTGTGTTTTATGTGCATTTGCATGAGTTTTAATAATATATATTGTTCTGTATGTGATTTTATATCTTCGTGTTTTCATATTTGCTGTTTGTCTATTGTACAGGATGGACTGACACCTCTGCACTGTGCTGCCAGAAGTGGGCATGATAGCGCTGTGGAAATACTGCTCGAAAAAGGAGCTCCAATTCTGGCCCGAACCAAGGTTAACAGAAGAATATGCTTTCTAAAAATTGCTAAAGCATAAGTTTTGTACTAGTGTATTGAAATGCAGCGTTACAGAATTAATATGTGAATAAAAAAACATAGTAGACCATAAGGAAACCAAAAGATGAAACAAAGGATATATTTTTTATGTCTATCACACCAAAAAATATTATGAAACAACCGTTTTACATATTTACAAAATGCTAATTATAATGACAAATCATCATTAATAGTTTTAAAGGCCACCTATGATGAGAATCAACTTTTTGTGAGTTGTTAGGACAGAACTGTGTGTAGGTATAGTGCAGGGGTGGCCACCCCTGGTATAGTGTCCACAGTCATATTGGAGTGATATAAACCTAACAAATCTTTTTTAAAATTTACTTGCGTTAAAATAGGATCCAAATCCCAGTGATATTGAGGCCCACTGCAACGTGATGTAGGAGTGTGGTTGTCCCCACCCATAATAACATGTATACACACGCACAGAACATTTTTTGCAACGAAACTGAGATTAAAACATACATAAAACTCTGTGATCAGCTGCACCTCAATAATTTGTTTAATAAGTTTAAAATGTTTTTAAGACAGAGCATGATTGTAATAAAGAGAGTAAAATTAACATGTAATTCTTAACCGCTATAATCACCATGGCCACATGGTGCCAGTAAGTGCTAATATGTTTGTGTGTGTGTGTATGTGAGACTCATCATTTCAGAAAGGCTTGAATAAACTCCATCACAAATACATGACATAAACTTACTTGGTATTTTTGGCTAGTGAATTTATTTCAGCTTCTTCCGTGCCTGTCTCTGTCACTGACTGCTGTTTATCTGACGTGAAGCATGAGAAGCAGACACACATGTGGAAGCGGTGGGCGGGGAGAAGCAGCTCATTTGGATTTAAAGCCACAGGCTACAAAAACAGCTTCATTGCCCTCAGACACCAAAATGGGCAGAGTCTACATTACATAATAAATAATCTACTGGATAATTTGAGCTGAAACTGTACAGACACATTCTGGAGACACCAATATCTCATCTTACACCTTGTAAAAAGGGTAAAATAGGTGCCCTTTGAGTGACACATGATCTTTCACTTAAATGTGTTATTAGTATTATTATTAAAGGGGACCTATTATGAGACCTAAACCCTCTTTACAATATGTAAAATAAGTCTCTAATGTCCCTAGAGAGTGAACGGGAAGTTTCGACTCAAAATACCCCTCAAATAATAACTCTTTGAAACTGCCCGTTCTAGGCTTTGATCCAAATTGTGCCATTTTGGTGATTGTCACTTTAAATTTAAATGAGATTGTACTCTTTTAAAAAGAGGGTGGAGCTACAAACGCCTGTTGGCACACAACTGTGTTAAAACCCCTTATAAAAGTGTTTTTTTTTTATTCATGAATAGGTCCCCTTTAACAGTATTATCAATGTTAAAACTTTTTAAATATTTATTTGCATAAAGTGTGTTTTAGTTTAATGATTTTGTATGAATATAAAGTTCGCTTACTGGAAACTTTTCTAACACTACAAATGTTTGTACTGTGACTTTTGATCAATTTAAGGCATCCTTGGAACAAACAAGAACCATATACAGTAAAGTCAGATTTATTAGCCTCTGTTGATTCTTTTTCCTCTTTTTTTAAATGTTTCCCAAATGATGGTTAACAGAGTGAGGAAATTATCACAGTATGTCTGATAATATTTTTTCTTCTGGAGAAAGTCTGATTTGTTTTATTCCGGCAAGAATAAAAGCAGTTTTTAATTTTTTAGAAGCCATTTTAAGGACAAAATTATTAGCCCCTATAAGCTATATATTTTTTGGCAGTCTACAGAACAAACCATCGTTATACAATAACTTATCTAATTACCCTAACCTGCCTAGTTAACCTAGTTAATCCTTTAAATGTCACTTTAAGCTGTTTAGAAGTGTCTTGAAAAAATCTAGTCAAATATTATTTACTGTCATCATGACAAAGATAAAATGAATCAGTTATTAGAAATGAGTTATTAAAACTATTATGATTAAAAATGTGTTGAAAAAAATCTGTTAAACAGAAATTGAGGAAAAAAAATGAACAGGGGGCTAATAATTCTGACTACAACTGTAGATGTGAATCAGTGGTTCTCAAAGTGAGGGTCGGGACCCCCCAAGGGGTCGCGAGACAATAAAGGGGGGGTCGCCTGGTGATTTCCAAAAATCTATTTATTTATATTAAACCATAAGAATTACCATATTTTATCAATAAACTACTGAAGAGAAAAATTGTTGTTTATAGTTAATATATACAAAATAGTTACTACAGTAGCTTATAGTTACTAGTTCTATTGGATTGCGACCCCTGGTGTAATTACATAATTTTAAAGACACACCAATGGCGTCAGATGCAGCAGATTGATTTTATAACATCAGGTTAAACTTTCTGGCACATTTACAGCTCTGATTTACATTAAAAAAAGATTAAACTAAGAATAAACTTGGGTCTATTGGTGTGTGTGCGCAATTGCATGCAAGGTTTCTGTATATATAACCACCTCAGAGGATATTGGGGGTCGCGAGTCACTAGCATTGTTATTTTGGGGGTCGCAAGCTAAAAAGTTTGGGAACCCCTGATGTGAATCATATAGAACCATGGCGTCATCTTTATCTGATCAAATCACTGTAATCAATTTTTTGATCTAAGGTTGAGCTGTATGTTTTTTTTCTCTCTGTTTTCCAACACACACACACAGAACGGTCTGTCCCCGCTGCACATGTCTGCTCAGGGTGATCACGTCGAGTGTGTGAAACACCTGCTGCAACACAAGGCACCGGTTGATGATGTCACATTGGACTACCTGACCGCCCTTCATGTGGCCGCACACTGTGGTCACTACAGAGTCACCAAATTACTGCTGGACAAGAAAGCAAATCCTAATGCCAGAGCGCTGGTAATTTAGTGAAAGACCGTATTACTGCATATTCATCAGTGTTAATCAATGCTACAAATGTATGTGTTGTCTCTGTCAGAACGGCTTCACTCCCCTACATATTGCCTGCAAGAAGAACAGAGTGAAAGTCATGGAGCTGCTGGTTAAATACGGCGCCTCAATCCAGGCCATCACCGAGGTAGGAGTCTGCGTCTCAATTCACACACTTAATGTAATCTTTAAGATAATGAGGACAATAAAATTTGATTTGTCATTGTCATAAAGGAGAATAATAGGGCAGAATAATATGAATCTGTTATGTTTATTTTTACATTTTTATTACATTGCTGTTCAAGCATGTAAAGAAATCTGCAATGCTACTAAGCGTACTAAAAAGCAATTCTCTGTATTGGTAATCACTGTTCCTGAATTTCTTTAAATGCCATCTATACGCTTATTTCACACGGCCGCCATTTTAAAGAACCAAAGCGAGGCTACAGTGGAAAGAAACCCGGAAGTATAGGACCAGCACTGTAAACATTGCAGTAACATGCTGTGGACAACAAACCTCCAGCTGTTGCCGATTTTTCAAAATGCAGAAATGGTGCAAACATCACCTTAATACCATTCAGTAAGTTTAATTTAAACAATTAAAAGCAATTTAGAATCAAACAACATCACAATCTTAAAAACGTCCATTTCCAGCTAATTTCCATTCATAAAAAGCGCTGATTTACCATAGTATGCACCAGTGCTCAACACTTTTCTGCTTTTCACCCAGTGCAAACACAGATACATGGAGAATGGAGCGCGAAGCAGCCGTGAAGATCAATCGAGTCATCAAGCATATCGCTCGTCTATGTTTGTGCTCAGTAAACAGAGGAGGGTGAACTGATGACGTTCTCGGCCGATCACAGTCATTTCTGTTGAGCATGTGAACTCAATGGCAAATCAGCGCTGTTTTAGGAAAGCCATCAACAGTGCCTTAAATGTTAACGGGAGATTGACGTTTTTTCTTTTAATTCAGTATCATGACAAGTCGAATATGGTGAAGAATCAATTCATTAACTTGAGTTTAATAAATGGCATCTAAAACGTGTGTTTGGGAAAGAAAACTATTTGCTAACTAGTGCCATTTCCTTAACTTAGCTGAAAATGAGCTTTGAAATCCCTTTTATTTTCACCATTCATTCAGAACGGACCTTTGGGTTACTCGGAAGGCGGTGAAATTAAAAATTTGTGTCACTTTCTCTTCGCTGATAGGATATATAGCCAGGTACACAACATTCCTCTGTAACTCCCAATGATACTTCCGGGTTTCTTCCCAACGCAGCCTCGATTTTGCTTTTAAAAATGGCAGCCACGTGAAATCAGTCTATTGTATTTCTGAATTTTCAGTCTTCTTTGTTTAAAACATGAAGGGATAATTCACCCAAAAACAAAAAAATATACTATTAAAAATATTTAAAACAACCTCAAGTGTTTCATTGGGTGAACATTATTACATATTTGGGTCTTTAGTGACCCAGACCCAGTTAGCAAACACAGAAGCATCTCTGACTACAATAAAATATAACACACTTTTGATATTTGTATCAAACTTACATCTAAGTATTGCATATTTTATTGTCTTCTATTCATTTTGAATATTCAATTTCACTGTCATATAAATGTCACTGTCAATTTCAAGCATGATCTGACTCATACATCTTATATATTCTCAAAACTATTGTTTCTAGCATCTTAGAAATCAGTATATTAATTGCGGTAACACTTTGTTTTGATGGTCCATTTGAGTATTAGAAGACTGCTGATACAGACATTCAACAGACATTTAACTGACTATAAGAAACTTTGCAAGTACAAGTCAACTTACACTAACCCTAACCCCAACCTAACAGTCTACTTATAATCTAATGAGAATTAGTTGACATGTAGAATAGATGCAATGTAACTTAAATTCAACAAACAGACCATCACAATAAAGTGTGACCTTAATTGCTGATACCTTATTCATCATATCCACAATTATATCAGTTTAAACTGACTGCAAACCAGCTGCAAAATGACCACCTTCATCTGGTGAGAAGCAGCTTATTTACATTTAGAGAGCTTTTTTTACTCCTAGCCAGAAAAAAAGGTATTTAGAAACTGGGTGTAATAAAGGATCTATGAGGTATTGTATGCTGAAATATCATAGACAAATTCTGCTAATAAAACTTTGATAATATTTTCTAAAAAGGGTATAAGACCCTTTTAAATATTCCTCTAAGCAAAATGTAAGAACATGACACAAACATATCCAAAGTCACAGGTTCAATCAACAGGGAACACATCAACTGCAAATAATATACACCATGAATGTGATGTGGTGCATGTATAATTGAATGTAAATGGGAATTAGAGTAGATCTCAATTGGTTACATTTTTGGGGGGAATTCATTTCTCAGTCGCTGTTTGCTCATTGTGGTTGTCTCTCTCTCCCTCTTCTCTTATTTTTTTAGTCTGGTCTGACTCCAATCCATGTTTCAGCATTCATGGGACATCTCAATATCGTTCTCCTGCTGCTACAGAATGGAGCCTCACCTGACGTCTGTAATATTGTAAGTGCACCATCGTCATGATTTGTATAGCATTTTGGAAATTCATTAATTTTCTTTTTGGCTTAGTCCCTTTTATTAATCTGGGATTGCCACAGTGGAATGAACCGCCGACATATCCAGAATATGTTTTACACAGCGGATGCCTTTACAGCCACAACCCAACATTAGGAAACACCCATACACGCTTGCATTCACACACATATAGACTATAGCTAATTTAGCTTATTCTTTTCACCTATAGCGCATGTCTTTGGACTGTGGGGGAAGCCGGAGCACCCGGAGGAAACCCACGCAAACACGAGGAGAACATGCAAACTTCACACAGAAATGCCAACTGACCCAGCTGGGGCTTAAACCAGCAAAATTCTTGCTGTGAGGCAATCGTGCTAACCACTCCGCCACCGTGACACCCCATTTCGGAAATTCATTCATTCCTTTGTTTTCTTTTTGGCTTAGTCCCTTTATTAATCTGGGGTTGCAACAGTGAAATTAACCGCCAACTTATCCAGCATATGTTTAACGCAGCGGATGCCCTTCCAGCCACAACCCATCACTGGGAAACCATTTTGAAAATGTCAAATATAAATTTCTTACAATGACAAATCAGCCAAAAATTACAATTATTCATCATTTAGTCAACCTTCACTTGTTCACAAGCTATTTGAGTTTCTTTTATTATTATTCTTTTACTATTATTATTATTATTTTAATTTAAGGACATTTTTGAAACATCTGACATTTAGTTTTTCTGCTATATTGAATAAAGTAAATTGGCAGTATGTGTGTGAAAGAGTGTGTATGGATGTTTCCCAGTACTGGGCTACAGCTGGAAGGGTATCCGCTGTGTAAAACATATGATGGATAAGTTAAGCTGTGGCGACCCCTGATGAATAAAGGGACTAAGCTGAAGAAAAAATGAATGAAAGATGAATCATGCATAACAAAGTAACACAATCCAAGCATAGATACATACAATAGAGCAACAATTAAAGTGAAATACACAGTGCTTTGTGGTTTTCAGGGTAGTCAAATAGTGTTCAGGCATTTATGAAATGTACAAAAAATGTTTGAGCCTCAATGCTTTAAACTATCTATTACTTCATTATGGTTAAACCTAGCAGTGACTCCACAAATCTCATGCGTTTTGAATTGTGGCTTTGCTGAACTAAAATCCTATCTCAACATTGCAGATGTGACTATTTTGAATGTGCACATTGCGATTGCCCTAACACAGACTCTTACAGTGAAGTTTTTTTATAAACCAATTTCGAGAGGATCACGTTTGATTGAACACGGCTGGTTCTGGATTAACTAATGCATGATTCACCAATCAGACACCAATTCATAATTCACTATAAGGAGCCAGGGTTTCTTATTACAGTTATCATCGCCTTGAAGAATCCCCCATTCCACCACTACTCCTCCACCTTTTCCTTTATAGGGTGGCACGGTGATGGTGGCACGGTGATTAAAACTGTTGCCTCACAGCAAGAACGTCACTGGTTCTAGTTCTTAACAGGCCGGCTGTCATTTCTGTTTGGATTTTGCATGTTCTTCCCGTGCTCGTGTGGGTTTCCCCCAGGTTCTCCGGTTTCCTCCCAAATTCCAAAAACATGTGTCATAAGTGTATTGATCATTCAAAATTTTGCACTCTAGTAGAGCTCTTATTCAGCAGTATATCTCTACATAGCAGTTATATTCTTCCATCAGCTCTTAACAAACTTGAGATCTACCTAAGCTCAAACTCCCCTCTCGCCCTGCAAACACGAGGGAGCCCTGGGCTCAAGGATTTTTTAAGCTCAGGGCTCTCTCCCGGGACAGCATGCCAAACTGGCTTTATAATCAGTCATCAGCTAAGTGTGAACTCTTGAAAGTGTGTTAAAGCAAAGAGAGAGAAATACATTATATAAGTTTGCACATCATTAAAGCAACAATCGCAATTCTAATGTCCACAATGCATATCGTACACCTCTAATTTCTAGTATCAGAGTAATAATCAGAATACATAAATTAAGCCAACATAGCAGTGGATTGTGTGTGTGTGTGTTTAAGCGTGGTGAGACAGCACTGCACATGGCTGCACGAGCAGGACAGATGGAGGTGGTGCGATGTTTGCTAAGAAATGGCGCTTTGGTGGATGCCATGGCCAGAGTGAGTCCATAAAACCCACTGAAAATACACAGTTTAATGGCTCACAAAGAGAGTTGTAAATATGCTCGACTCACTGGTTTCTCTCTCCAGGAGGATCAGACACCTCTTCACATTGCTTCTCGTCTGGGTCAGACAGAGATTGTGCAGTTGTTATTGCAGCACATGGCTCACCCTGACGCCTCCACCACTAATGGGTACACACCTCTGCACATCTCGGCTCGTGAAGGGCAGGTGGAGACGGCTGCGGTGCTGCTGGAGGCTGGAGCATCTCACTCGCTCGCCACAAAGGTCATTTTATTTACCATATTATTTGGTATACACATGACATGGTCATTAAAAGCTTGGGTCACTAAGGAATGTTTTAGGTTTATGAAATCAGCCAGTGCTCAGTAATGCTGCCCTTATTTAATCTAAATATATACATTTTTTTGTCTTAAAATACTCGTCTTTTTTATTGTTATACTTGTTTTTTTACTTGACCTTTTTTATTATTATCAATGCATTTTTTGACTGCTTGATAAATATAAAGTTTAGAGGAACATTTTCCATGTTTGTAGCAATGTTAAACGTTACTGTCATTTTAATCAAGTAAATGCATCATTGCAGGATAAGAGTATCAAAAAAAAAAAAACTCCAAAACTTCAAACCTTTTAACAGTAACAAACATTTTCTGAAATATGATCATTTTACAACTTCCCCACAGTTTTGAGACTATTTTTAGTCTCTCAACATATATTTTTTATTTGTCCTTTAAAATTTTAAGGAACTTTTTTGGTAATACTTTATAATAACTACACACTATAAATAATTTATTAAGCATTGGCAAATAGTGAATTCATTATCTGTTAAGCCTTAACTTAACTACATTAATAAGCGTTAGTAAGCAGTTTATAACTGCAGCTACAAATGCCCTATTCTTGACTTATAAGCACCTATATAATGTGTTCAATAATTGTACTTACATACTTAGTTAATGATTGATTTTTTATTACTAAATTAAGTATTGCATTATTTACAAACCATTTGTATTTAAGAGTAGTTGAGGGCTTTTAGGATCATTCAGAATGAGTTAGTAAATGATTAATAAACTATTAAAATCAACGTTTATATGTCTTATTATTCAGGCATATATTAATCGTTTCTATGTATGTTACTAAATGCTTTATTAACTCAACTTCATCTAGTTTTGTGACCTAATCTAAAGTGAGGACTATTTATGCTTTATTAATTCCTTTATAAATGACAAATAAAGGCGCAGTTAAATTCTAAAAAGGAAAAATGACATTATTCACACCTATTCATTTAATATACACAAATGAAACTTTAAACGAAAAATAAATCTTTGCAATCTAATCTAAACCTAACCTTAAATAAAATCACTGTAGAGTTTAAACATTGCATCTTATTATAGTTACATTATTATATTGTTGTTGTTGTTTTATCCAGTTTTATGTTGTATTTTGACACTTATGTTATTCAGCAACTTTAAAACTCTACAGTAATTTTACTTTTTAGAAAAGATTGCAAGGATTATTGTTCATTTGAATCTTTAATAGGGATTTATAAGGGATTTTTAAAGCATAAATAGTCCTCACTTTAGATTAGGTCACAAAACTGTGTGAAGTTGAGTTAATAAAGCATTTATTAACATATTAGTTAACCATTAGTATATGCCTGAATAATAGGACATATAAATGTTGATTTCAACAGTTTATTAATCATTTACTAACTCATTTTGAATTATCCTAAAAACCCTCAACTACTCTTAAATACAACACGTTTGTAAATAATGCAATACCTAATTTAGTAATGAAATATAAATCATAAACTATGTATGAAAATACAATTATTAAACACATTATATAGGTGCTTATAGTCAAGAATACAGCATTTGTAGCTACATTTATAAACTGCTTACTAACGTTTATTAATGTAGAATTAATGCTTAACAAATAATGAAGTGTTACCAAAAAAGGCTCAGGGGTAACTTAAACATTTGGTCGGTGCTCTTTGGTTAAGGGATTCATCAAAACAATAACAAAAATCAGTCCAAGGCACTCGAAAAATGTGGAAAATGTAAAAAGCCTTAATTCACATGGCTAAATCTATAAAAACCTAACTGTTTCTGCAAGGATCTGCCTTCATCAGGGTAACAGTGATAATGTGCGTCTAGAGCAGGGGGTGCTTGACCCTGTTCCTGGAGATCCACCTTCCTGCAGATTTTAGCTGCAACCTATATCAAACACACCTGCCTGTAATTATCAAGTGCTGTTCATTTCCTAATTAATTGGTTCATGTGTGTTTGATTATGTTTGGGGCTAAACTCTGTAGGAAGGTAGATCTCCAGGAACAGGGTTGAGCACCGCTGGTCTAGAGTCTCTTTTGAGTACTACGGTCACTTGACTCATTTAGATATATCCCAACAACAATCAAATTATTTAATAAACAAGGTCAACTATCATCATAGATTCAGCATAAGTAGAGGAGAAGATATAAACATACACAGACAAACACGTGCATATCTGAAAAAAATATATATAGAACTAACAAACAAGGATGTACATCCATACACCCATACGAACACACATATATACATGTGTACATACAAATGTCTACACATACACATATATAAACATGTACACAAAAGAATGCATAAACAAACACATTCATATTCAATAATATATGGTGAAAATTTGTAAAGCATAGAAAAACTGTTTCACAAAAAAGAAGAAAAGTCTAACTCTGTTAGCCGTTTAAACCTGGATATCTGATTGCTTTTAATGTATAGATCCAAAAGATCTCTCTCTGTTTTAATCTTTTTATCCTGTCTCCTCCTCTTGTAGAATTATAAATATGTTCAATACCAACTATTTTTAATGAACTGGGATTGCCGTGAACTTGATTTTTATAATGTAGGGCCATAGGATATTGTGGATTACAGGTAGGCTACGTATCGCATTTTCATGCTCCGCTAATCTCAATTTTAATTTTCTCTTTGTTATTCCTATATAAAAGCATCCGCACGGACATTCCAGTCGATATACAACAAATGTAGAGTTGCAAATAATAAATTAATAGATCTTAAATTCATGGCCTGATGATAGATCAGTAAATATGTTGATCTGTAAATATGTTCGTCTTCCATGTTTGTAGCAATGTTAAACTGTACTGTCATTTTTTTAATCAGGTAAATGCATTATTGCAAAATAAAAGTATCATAAAAAAAAAAGAAAAACTACAAACCTTTTAACTGTAACAAACATTCAGCTACATTTAACCACAAATGAATATCCTCCCCTTAACAGAAAGGCTTCACTCCTCTACATGTTGCTGCTAAGTATGGAAGCCTGGATGTGGCAAAACTCCTTCTACAGCGGAGAGCACTTCTTGATGACGCTGGAAAGGTGAAAATCAAAACTTGAATCATCTATTTATTAACATTACTTTTGGAAATATGTATTTCATTTAATTCAATTTAAGTTTATTTGTATAGCGCTTTTTTTACAATAATTATTGTTTCCAAGCACCTTTACAAATGGTGCACATTGTTGCATAACAATCAAATTCAGAAAAGTTAAGGTTATTAGAAATCATAACTTTGTTAGGTACTAATACCTAATAGCTTTTAACAATTAAAGTTATTATATATAAACATAGTTAACCTGTAGTTATAAAGTATATAGGTGATGTCTATGTGTACATGTTCAAAGAAGTGTATTCAGTTTTCTATTTTTTATTTCTAAACCAGTACGGCCTCACCCCTCTTCATGTAGCTGCTCACTATGATAACCAGCAGGTGGCGCTGATGCTCTTGGATAAAGGTGCCTCACCTCATGCTACTGCTAAGGTACTAATTTTACTGCGAGATCACAAATATCAGGCTGACTGTCTATACATGAAAAAGATTACTATGTATACTACGGATGTCAAGTACTACAAATTCTGGCACATCATCAGCAGCATGACAATCAAAACACAAACCAAAGCTTTTTTTTTACTGTAAATAAAAGGCTAGTAGGATTGTAAAAAGAATCACTAATGATAATTTAATATTCTGTTCCTGTGCAGAATGGCTACACACCTCTCCATATTGCGGCGAAGAAGAACCAGACTCAGATCGCCTCTGCGCTACTTCAGTATGGTGCAGAGACCAATGCACTGACAAAGCAGGGAGTGAGTCCTCTACACCTGGCATCTCAGGAGGGACACACCGAGATGGCAGCCCTACTGCTGGAGAGAGGAGCACACGTCAACGCTGCCACTAAGGTAAGAGCAGGGTCAGACTGTCGCTTTAGCATCATCACAGTTCCCTAAAGAAACACTGGAAATATGATCGCTTTACAACTCCCGTAGGAGTTTTACCATTTAGCCAACCTCTGGGTCTTGCGTGATCACATTTAGGTTAGCTTAGCATAAATCATTGAATCGGATTAGACCATTAGCATGTCACTCAAATTTTTTTTTTAAAGGCTGCAGCAGGCACAACGATATTATGAAGTGCTGTTACCTAGTTATCTAGCTAGGGACTATTTTGAGGTGCTACACAATATCATTTCACCTGCTGTAGCCACAGTAGGGCAGCAAAGTTTTTTGATTATTACACCAGTGTGCGAGTATGTGTCCTAGCAATATCGGCTTGGAAAATAGCAACTTTCAATTTTTTGTCATTTAGTGCACAATGAAACTAAGATTCTGAAAAATAAATGATTTATTATTTTTTTATTTATTGAGCGAGATGCTAATGGTCTAATTAACGTGAAACTGAGTGCACGTGCACAAGCGCAAAACCCCTCGCTGCCTCCTCCCCCATATGAATAGTTTGTCCTCCGGAATTAATAACAAAAGAAAAAAATAGAGTGGGAGAGTTTAGCTGACGTGGTAACGCAGTTGGGTCTGAACATCGCACTATGAGTGAACTAAAAAAGAAATGGTCAGCTGTAAAGGTGTAAAATTTTGAAAATTGGGTTGACAACAGAACACAATGTCAGGCTGATGTCAATGTTTAACATCCAACCTAAAATCAACCAAATATCAACATCTAATGATGTTATAGCTTGACATGTTGACGTTACCACTATGACGTCTATCAGACACTGGATTTTGGTTGCCATACCTGACGAATAAATGTCAGTATTTGATGTCGATATGATATTAGTTTAAGATGTTAGCTAGATTTTGGTCACCTGATGTCACGAACTAAATCTAACCTAATATTAATGTCTTATGACATTGTCTGCCTTCTGGGAAGAACAGGGAGCGGCTTCATTTCTGTCTAACGGGAATTGATTGGATCATCGTGAAAGCCTTCTACAGAGCCATAATTCTAATATACATTTTTTGTTTTGTTTTTCTTCAGAGTGGCCTTACACCTCTTCATCTCACTGCTCAAGAGGACAGAGTGCAAGCGGCTGAAATACTGGCCAAACACGACGCAAACATTGACCAGCAGACCAAAGTAAGCTTGTCCTGGAGTTTAATATTAACATGCTCGTATTGTATTATTATTTTTTCATAAAAATAACGAAATTGCATGATTAAGTGTCCATTTCTCATGTTAATTTGGTTGTTTCTTCTAGTTGGGCTACACTCCTCTTATCGTGGCTTGCCACTATGGAAATGTCAAAATGGTTAATTTCCTTTTGCAAAATGGCGCTAATGTTAATGGAAAAACAAAGGTAAGAATGTACTTCTTTCATCTTTGCCATAATGACAGAACATAATATTTAAATAGATATTTTAATATACTAGTATTCATTTAAAAGTGCCATTTAAATGTAACGGAGGCCAGCTAGTGTGTGCTGTGCAGGTAAACCTCACTCCTTTGACCTCTAAAGGTGCCCTAGCGACAGACGCTAGGGGCCATGGTCTTTAGCCTCCTTGGTAGAGCAACCGACTCCCATGCGGAAGATCGCTGGTTCAATACCAGCTCGGAGCAGGTTGGGTGGCGTAGGACCGGTGGGGTTACATTGGTGCCGTGACCCGGATGGGAGTGAGGTTTAGGGGGGTGAGTGTAACGGAGGCCAGCTAGTGTGTGCTGTGCAGGTACACTCACTCCTCTGACCTCTAAAGGTGCCCTAACGACAGACGCTAGGGGCTATGGACTTTAGCCTCCTTGGTAGAGCAACCATCTCCCATGCGGAAGGTCGCCGGTTCGATACCAGCTCGGAGCGGGTTGAGTGGCGTAGGACCGGCGGGGTTACATAAAGGTTAACTATGCAAGTTAGGGTTAGTAGGCAAGTCATTGATGATGATGATGCTTTGTTCTGTAGACAATGGGAATGGGTTGTTTAAGGGGGCTAACAATATTGACCTTAAAATGGTTTTAAAATATAACAACTTATAAAAGCTTTTTTATAATAAAAGCTTTTCTTCTAGCCACAATAGAACAATAAGACTTTCTCCAGAGGAACTATTATAGGAAATACTGTATTATTTTTTTTTGCATTGCACTGCCTTCTGATTGCTATCTCTGAGATAATTACTGTATTGATGAATCTTTTTTTTTCTTTGTACATTCAGAATGGTTACACACCACTTCATCAAGCTGCTCAACAGGGAAACACACACATTGTCAATGTCCTCCTGCAGCACGGAGCTAAGCCTAATGCTGTTACCATGGTATGAGCAACACTTGCACTCCCTGAAATCATCTTAATTCTGTATGTGACTCCTTTAACCTCAACATTCTTTCTCCCTCAGAACGGAAACACTGCACTCTCTATTGCGAAGCGTCTGGGGTACATCTCAGTGGTGGACACTCTGAAAGTTGTTACTGAGGAAATCATCACAACCACAACTGTATGCATCCATGCATTTATGTAATAATTTGCTTCTGATATACGCACAGACCACACAGTGAATACGCTGAATGCCTTGTTCAATTGAACTATTGCAGACGGTGACAGAGAAACACAAACTGAACGTTCCAGAGACAATGACGGAAGTTCTGGATGTTTCTGATGAGGAGGGTAAGATAATGTGTTTTATTCTGTTTTATTAAACAAAATCAGGATTTGCTATATCTGTGTAAAAGCTGCTGTGCCTTTGTAGCTCAACATCAAACCGAGGAGGAGCTTTTTACTGAAGTCTATATGGAGATTGAAGGTATACGGGGTATAGATATAGAGGGAACTGAACTGAGCTCTTTACTAACACTACACTTTTTACATTTGCCAAAAAAATAATTAAACATCTGTTCAGTTTGTTCTGTATCTATTCAGATGTGTGCTTTGCAGTTTGTGTGCTAACTGGAACGGGCATGATTATTGTATATAAAAACTAAACTGTGGAAAACTAACTTTGGTCTCAGATATTTGACCAAATCCTATAATAATTATTTTTATACAGTAAATTATAAAACTGAGAACAGCTAATATTTGTGGATTACAAGCACGTAACTCTGGTAATTCTGATTTGATCACTCTGATCAGTAACTTTAATAATAATGTTAATAATTAAAATAACAGATATCAATTTGACCACCCCTAATGGTTCATACCATTGTGAATGCATAATCGTGCCAGTCTGTCTATGTGAGGAAAAGTCATTCAACTGTCTGAAACTGGCAGATTTAGAGCACCGATATACACGGTAAGACTTCACAAGACCGGTTTATCATAAAATAGGTGTTTGCTTCTGCATATACTCTAAAAGTAAAGTCAAATTAGATTCATAGTTTGTATAGTTTGACCTGAAGTAAGCCCAAATAGCTTATTAGGTCAGAATATACTAGCCTATCCCTCAAAACACTGAAAACTTAAACACATTTTATTAATAAATTAGTCATTTAAATAAATACATACATTTTATTCACTGAAGCATGTTGTACACAAACTAACATGATCGTCAATGTAGAATTCACACACTGATCACAGTGCATTTAGTTGGCTTGTTTTAGTAATCATAACTATCGCTATTGCACATTCTAGAATCATAGGGAGATTTTGTATTGTCTCCTAGATAAACCTATTATTTTTTCAAAAACAAAAAAAGACACAAGTAGAATTAAGTTATGTTTAAAAAAAATGACTGTTTGAGTATTAAAGGGCATTTTGTCTTGAAAATATTAACTTAAACTCGTAGTGTAGCCATTTTTGGCTCCCTCTGCCTACTGAATCATACATTCAGCTTTAATTATCATTAAGTTATACAAGCACACTCAGTTACTCTACTTTTGCATGAAACAGCTGTTTGTGATATTGTAATTTTAATAATAAAAATATATATTTTTTGTCCATCACTGTGTTTGGGTCAACTCTGTTACATTGGTTATAAAACCGCCTAACAATTTGTAAAGCACTGACTAAGAAGCATGTGACTTGCTCAAAGTGTTGTCACTTTCTGTCTGGAATCTCTGGATGGCATTGAAGCATGCCATTATTTTTCTCTTATTGATATGTACAGATCAATAGTAGATTAAATACTTAAAATTGCTTAAAATACTTGATTGGATTTCTCATTAACTTTTAAAAAATATTACTAATAATACTTAATACACAAAATAGTGTTTCAGTTATTCCATGTGGTGTCCGGTTTGAGGTTATCATCTAAAGCACAATAGTGTGGAAAATGTCATCGTCAACGCTGTTAGTGGTTTAAAAGGTTTAACATTTAGTCAAAAACAACAATTAATAACAGAATCAAATTATTTATACAACATTTAGGCAATGTGATGTATATCATTGCAGTTTTAGAGAATAGAATGGAAAATGCTTAAAATGTACCCGCAATTCTGGAATGAGCCTTATATTTAAACTTTTAAAGATTTAATGAACCTATTACTCATCCTACAATCAGTGCTGGGAAGATTGCTTCAAAATTGTAAAGCAAATTACATGTACTCAGTTCATACTCAACCCTGCCGACACTGAATGTGTACCATAAATGATGGCATAATAAAAAGGAATAATAAATATTAAAATATTATTTAAAGATAACTATATATTTCTTTAGTCAATTTTATTTTGTCCATACTGTCTCTTTTTGGAAATCTTTGTCTCTAACCTGAATGCTTTTAATGTTACTTGAATGTTGAATGTTATTAGGTCTGAATGCAGAAAATACTACCTACTGTAGTAAATAGTGCACTTAAATTAAAGGGTGAGTTCACTCCAAAAATAATATTTCTTTTTTTTTTTTGGACCACAAAAGGCAATGTGCTTTTTAAAATCTGGGTAAGACAGAGTGGACTGCTGTGCTAAGTGAATACCATGAGCATATGCAGTCCTTAATGATTTTTGTTAACATTTAGAGTAGACTAATGTAAACACGTTTTGGGTTGTTTTCCATTAAAAACAATCATAAACACCCTCAAAGCATTTGGAACATGGCATGTATCGCATATAGGACAACTCTCCGACACTTTTGTGTCTGAAGCTTAAAGGAACTTTTTCTTTTTTAAATAGGCACATTTCACAAGTTAAAAAGTTGAGTTTTATCATTTTTTAATCCTTTTAGTTGGTCTTTGTCTGGTAGGAGCACCTTTAGCTTAGCATGAATCGTTGAATTAGATTAGGCCATTAGCATCTTGGTTTATTTATTTTTAAAATCCTTTTCCTATTTAAAGGATTAGGAACTTCTTCAGTTACATTATGTACTAAGACCAAGAGATATACAATGTTGCTGTTTTCTAGGCTGATATGGCAAGGAACTATACTCTCATAAACAGGAAAATTATCAAAACTATTATTATTATTTTTTTGCATTTATTTTTAGCCAGATGCTAATAGTCTAATCCAATTCAATGTTCTATGCTAAGCTAAGCTTCTCTCACCAGACCTGGAGATCATCTGAATGTATTCAAAAATGGTAAAACTAAACTGTTTAACTCTAGGTGACTTGTAAAAGGCCACCAAAAAAGTGGAGTTTATTTTCCATAAAGTGAAGTATTCCTTTAATGCTGGCTGCTATTCACTTCCATTACATGAGCACGCATGAGCATTTATTTAAAACTTCTATTTTATAGTCTGAAAAGGAATGAAGGGTAAACAATATTAGATCAACACTTTTAGTAGATGATGACCTTATTTAATTTTTTGAGTGAACTAACCCTTTAGGTCAGCCATTTAAACAAGCAATACTCAACAAGGTGATGTGTGTATGAGCAGGGGAAGACACAATGACAGGTGATGGAGGAGAATACCTGAGAGCAGAGGACCTGAGAGAGCTTGGGGACGATTCTCTTCCTGGACATTACCTGGATGGCATGAGCTACACTCATAATCTAGACCGGTAAATTAAAGCACAGTGTATTTAGTATAAAACATTGAAATTAATGCTTGATTAACAGATTATTGCAGTTAGAGTTTGGATTTTTGGGGGGTTTGTAAAGCAGTTTTGCTTTTCTAATGATCCTGGCTTTATCTTAATAAATAAAAATACAGATACTAAAATTTACAAAACATTATTTTGATTTCACAGGTGCTTTAAATATGCAACACATGTAATCTAGTCTTGATCACCTGTTTGCTTTGTCCGGCCTCAGGTCTCATGAAACCCCCAGTCATCTTGCTTACAGAGGTGAAGGAATTCTGATCGAAGACATGATCGCCAGCCACCAGATTAACAAGGTGAATTACACCTCACTTGTACATGTAGACATAAATAGTTCAGAAAGAAATATTTTGATTCAACATAGAACTTTTATAATAAACATTTAAGCTACAAGTTAGTTTCATCTAAGTTGCCATTTTCAATTAGGTTTACTACTCACTAATGTTTATTACTACTATTACGTAATGCTTAGCCTACTAACATGACCCAATAATAAACTTCGAATCACATTGTCTGTCACCGAATAAATCCAAATCCATACTTACATCAACAATCATTCATAAGTAAATTATCTGCTTGTATGTCACGCTGCGTTTTTGACTGTTTTGGACTGCTTGTGAATGAATAATAGCTTACGTCTGCTGTAACGTTAGTCAGCCATTTTCGTTTCTGTCAGCTTTGCGTTTTTGACTGTTTGGCGCCATCTTGTGACTGAATAATGTGCAGGTTAGTGCAAACCCAACAAACACACAACGTTGCCTCAACGTAGCGACCTTCCTACAACGTTGTACCAACATTGCAAAAAGGTTGAGGATTCTACGTTGTTTCTAAAGGTTGTCACAACGATGTCATAAGGTTGCCATTTAAACATCATGAGGGTCGCATGCTTTAGGTTGTGCTTAGGTGGCGTGGACGACCACTGTACAACATTTACTGGTCACAGCTGAATCAGTTTAAATTTCAACAAGCCGTCGTCTCATTCATCAACGACCGAGGAGACGTGAGTATTGCTTTATTTCTTCATGCTAAATAAGATACATAAATCGTGGATATTCAAACAAACCTATGATTTCGACAACAATCTGTTCCAACATTACACACACACAAAAGCCGTAATGAAGTTATTACGAGCGAGTAACATTTCGGCATTCCGTTAACGGACGGCAACAACATTAAAATCATTATGTTAAATCTCTCGATAAAACATTTCCTGATTATTTACCTACGCCTTGTCTTTAGTCAAATGGACAATAATGTTTTTGAAGTTCAGTTTTTTCCATATCCATCGTGATCAGTTAGTATGATACTTCATCACACAAGCCGACCCACTTTTTACAAAACACAAAATAACTTTTAAAAACAAAACATCTCTGTGCAGATTGCGTCCCGTTAAAGGAACAGTTCACTCAAAAATGATATGTACTCACGAATTATTTGCCCTGTAAATAATAAGTGATTCCAAACCTTTAAGTTTCTTTATTCTGTTGAACATTAAAGACTGTAAGCATTTGCTTTCATGGTAGGAAAACACTATGGAATTAAATAGTTACAGTTTTCCAGCTTTATTTAATACATCTTCTTTATTGTTTAGCAGAAAAAAAGCTAAATAAGTTTGGAACAAATAAAGAATGAGGCTAAAATGGCAGAATTGTCAGTTTTGGGTGAGCTATCCCTATAAGTTAAAGTATATAAATTGAGGTTCATATGCCTAATTAATATAGATAGTAATTAAAAGGTCTGCTAGTCTAAATTTCTATTTTGATTGGTCTTTTGATGTTTTATTTAAAACCCACTCTTCTCTTTGCTCAACAGGCTATTTTTACATGGAGGTAATCTTCTATTGATAATTTCTGGATTTTAATTATGCGTAAGTTGCATGAAACTATTGTTTAATCACTCACTGTTGTTTTCAAATTACTTATGTAACTTGTCTTTCAGAATGTTTTCAGCTGTTGAATTCACCTCAGATCAGTGTTGCTGTAATTCCTGATGGAAAGAAGAATTGAATGAGGTAAGAAGTATACTATTCTATTTACTATTAAATGTAGTTATGTTACCTAAAACAGCATGTCCATAATGTGGAAAATAGATCATGCTTATGAAAAATTACTTTATTATTTTGTACAGCTGTTATTGAAATGACACTAAGTTTAACATTTCATTAACAGCGAGCAACGCCACAACTACAGGACCTCTTCTTTCTCTTCTCATAATTTACAGTAAGTAAGTATTCGGAGACCTACTCTGACTTCTGTTAACTCAAACCTGTTTTCCCTGTATCTCTAAATTTATTTAATTGTTTGTAATTTTGGTATATGATATATTATTAAAACATTAAAATAAAGTAGGCTACATAATTACTCTGGAGATTTTATATGTAATGAAATTACAATAAATGTCTGAAACTTCAATAACTTGCTAGTCATAGTCATTTCCTGTGTAGTGCTGTTGTGTCAAGCTCTGATCTGTCCTCTCTTGTTCACTGCCTATTTTGACTTTTGTCTGCTGTGGATCTCTGAAGCTGGATTATCCGTTGAATTTGTTTCTTCCTCTGACTGCTTTCTCCATACCAACAACTACGACTGGTCTTCAGCTGCGCTCCCCGGTCTGCTGTATTCTCCAGTCCAGAGCTTCACTGACCAGTGTTTGAATTTTAATTTATATATTTATTTATATATTTATTTACATTTTAATGATTTCTTGTTTACTTTTCTTGTTTGTTTACCCTTTAGTTTAAATATATATATATATATATATATATATATATATATATATATATATATATATATATATATATATATATAATCTAAACTTTATTTTATACTGTTTGCTTATAATTAGATACTGTATGTGTACTGTATGTATTAAATGTTGTGAAATATATAATAAAAAGTTTGATTATATTCATTTGTGTGGCATTTTTACACTTTAAAGTTTACACATGCAGTTTTTAAATTAAATAGGAAAAATAAATGAACAATATTTCATATTAAGCAATACTGGAAAAGAATTGCTGCTTATCCTGTATTCTAGGCAGTAATGATAAACTGCCACAAAAAAATATTAATACAAGTAGTAAGAACGCCGCCTCGCGGTTGCTGAATGTCGCACGACAACGTTGCTACAGCCTTCTCACGTCTTACATTTCTACGTTGTGACAATGTAGCGAGCACGTAAGCGGCAACGTTGCCTTTGAAAAAATACAACGTTGTGCAGACATCGCTACAACGTAAATGTGTTTGTTGGGAAGTCTGCCAGCCATGCGTTTAATTAATGTGTTAATTAACAATGTTTTGTGTCTATTTTTTTTTTTTTTTTGGACAAGTAACTGTGTAATAATTAGGATAAAGTACACCCAGGAGGTTGTTTTCCACATAATGAAGCCCTTCAGACCTTGTCCGGGCAGCCGATAAGCCTAGTCAAGCTTTATTCTGCGAAAACATCCTCCAGGATGTACTTTATCCCTTATATAAAATAAAATAAATAGGTGCTACAATTATGTATTGTTTACTGTTTGTTCATGTTAGTAAATACATTAACTAACATGAACTATACAAACTTTTTGGAAAGTGTTACCGAAATATTTACAGATAATTTAGGCGATTACATTTACAAAAATATTTGGTTTATTCTGATTGTGTTGTCAGGTGTCTGCATTTCGAGAGCATGAGAAGGACTCGTATCGACTGAGCTGGGGTGCTGAACATCTGGATAATGTGGTGCTAACCAGCACTCTTCTGCAGTCAGGGTTAGTAAGTTGTATACACACTCAGACAGAATTGAAACACAAACACACTTGCCTCCCTGTCACATACAGCAAGAACGTATAAAGTTGTGTATCTTTGGTCAAAACTGGTAAACCTTTTTTTCTTCTCATTATTTTAAACTCTCTCTCTCTCTCTCTCTCTCTCTCTCTCTCTCTCTCTCTCTCTCTCTCTCTCTCTCTCTGTCTCTCTCTCTCCTCTCTCTCTCCTTGATTACACTCACGTCATCTCCCTGAATCACTCGGTGTCTCTCTCTGCTCTTCGTGATTGTGTGTTTTGTCCGTCTTTTAGCCAGTCTACCCCATGCCTTGACCATGACAACAGCAGGTGATCCTCCACTACTCTTGCTTGAGTCCCATTGCTTTCCATATTCACAATACATTATTGCATGTTAAAATGAGCATTTTTGTGCTTATTCAAATTTTAATATGCATGTTTTGATAAACTCAGTGAGTCATGTCTCAGTATTCATAGAAAACCTGTGAATAATATGCAATATTATTCAGTACTTCTCACATGGGTGGTATGAAACTGGACACACTGCGTTTCTCAACTCCTACGCAATTTATTTTCCCAGTACCTCTCTAGCATGTTCATTCTATATTATCTAATCTCCCCAGATAACTGATCTTTTTCAAAGTCTTTCTTTATGAACTTCATTTTTTTATGGACACTATATAACTAAACATTAAAGCAACACTTAACAATAACATTATTATACAACGCATCTGGAAAGTTTTTATACTGTAGCGTTTTTTTTTTTTCTTCATGTCACAGCTTCATTCCAAAATGGATTAAATTCGTTTATTTCCTTAAAATTCTACACACAATACCCCATAATGACAACGTGAAAAAGATTTTTTGAAATTGTTGCAAATTTACTAAAAATAAAAACTCTGAAAAAAAAACATGTACGTATTCACAGCCTTTGCTCAATACTTTGTTGATGCACCTTTGGCAGCAATTAAAGCCTCAAGTCTTTTTGAATATGATGCCACACTAAAACAATTTACACAAAAACCACATGAACATCACATGCGCTTCAAAACATGTGAAACACACTTGGAACACATGTGAAACGCCTGTGAAACACACATGAAGCATTTGCTTTTAGTACATTTTCATGTAAAGAAGAAAAATCACATTTCTTCCACAAGAAAATGTTCCAAAACATGTGTGTTCCAAATGTGTTCCCTGTATGATTTTAACGTGATTTTCTGGGTGCTTTTAAGGGAAAAGCTGTGGTTAAGCTGTAAGTTTTAGAAACAATCATTTACACACTATTTCAGTATTCAAATTCACTGTATTGTTGGTGATGTTTAGCTCTGTCACTTGCTTTGTTTCTACATAAACAGCTTCCTGGTCAGTTTTATGGTGGATGCTCGTGGTGGAGCCATGCGTGGCTGTCGTCACAATGGACTACGCATTATTGTTCCACCTAGAAAGTGTTCAGCTCCTACACGAGTCACGTGTCGCCTGGTGAAGAGGCACAGACTGGCCTCTATGCCCCCAATGGTGGAAGGAGAGGGGCTTGCTGGCAAAATCATTGAAGTTGGTCCCACCGGAGCACAGTTTCTTGGGTAAGAAGTAGTGGAAAGTTTGAAACAAAAAAATTATGCTTTATCACTATGAACATTTTTGTGTGTGTAAGACGCTGTTAAATGTTCTCTCTTTTGTGGTGTCGACTGACAGACCAGATGAGTGTCAATGTTTGATGTGTCCTAACCAGAAGCGATGTTGCAGTGTTTACCGTGACAGTTAATTTGTTTGTTAATGCTGAAACAGCATGCAAGGTTAACCCTTGAGATTAAGTGAATGGAAAACAAGACATTAGTTTCTTACTTAGTATTTTGTCTTGTTTTCCAGTACAAATATATAAAGAGTAAAAATAATAATTCAAATTTTCAATTATTATTATTATTATATAGCTGGTGGTTCATTCTGCTGTGGCCACCCCTGATTAATAAAGAGACTAAGCCGAAAAGAAAATGAATAATGAATTATTATATAAATGTATTTACATACATTTTTAACAGTCTTTATGTAAAAAAATATTCTATTGTAAGTTTCTAATGTTAATTGTGTAATTTTGTTATGCAAATGGAATTTTCATTTATTATTTTCTACTTAGATTTAATGTTTTTATTTTTTACTTTTCATTTTAATAGTTTGAAAGAAAAAGGTACTTACTTCAAAATAATTTTGTTGATTTACATAAAGTTGAAATAACATAAAATAACCCAGTTCAATCACAATGAATAGTTCACCCAAAAATTAAAATTTACTCACTATTTGTTCATTCTCAAGTTGTCACGGGTGTAGGGTGGGGAAAGGAGTGAGGACTCAAGTGCAGGGAAACTGATGTTTTTTTATTAATAATAAAATAAAAAGCAAAACCAACAACACTGAGGGAAAAAAAACATTAACAAAAAGGCAAAAACAAACTAGACTGGGCTGGCAGGAAAGAGTAGGGCTTGGACAAGACTGGACACAACAGGACAAGGTGATTAACGTTGACAAACTGGCACAGGACAGCAGACATGAGGAGACTATAAGCAGAAATAATTACCAAACAATTAAACAAACAAACAGGTGAACTGAATAAACTAATAATGGGTTAACAAGGAGGATGGGATCGGACAATAGACAGGAGCACATGACACAAGGAAACAGCACAAGATATATGCTCACGTAAAAACAGGACTAGAATTCGCAGCCAATGAGAGAACCCATTAACCGTGTATTCACATGAAACACGACACTAAAGCACGCAGCCACAGTAGCTATGTTTCCAAAAATGCGAATGAAATTTTCTGTGGTAGGAGAAGCGGCGTAAATCTTTTCTTCATCTAATAAACGACTTGAGCCTCAGAAGACAATCCTGACATGCAGTGAACACGCGATGGCGTTTGAAGGTGTCAGACACGGAGCACAGACACTCTTAATTCTGGAGGTCAATAATAATATAATAACAATAATACTTAAATGGTAAGGCATTTTAAAATGACCAAATCAACAATTCAGATGGTTTACAGTGTGCTCTGCCTGCTGGTTTGTCTATTCACATACATTTTGATCATCACATGATCTCTTATAACAAAATCACATGACCTTTTTTAATGTGCATACTGGAATTTGTGGGGTAAAAGTGTTTCCCTCATAGTTTTTGCGCATCTTTTCTTATGGAATAAAAAATTTATCCTACTCAGTTATGTGCATATGTTTTTTATGCGCATTTGCAAAAAAAATAGGTGGATGGAAACATAGCTAATGTAAACACCAGGCCACATGCCTAAACAACACCAACACAAACAGATCGTAATATATGGGTACACGACAAATAAAACACCTACCGTGCACTCACACATGCATCAAGCATGTTTCATCCCAGCACCAACTAAAACCAAAATCAACTAGACTGAGGGCGTACTCACACTATGGACATTTGCCTTGAACCAAAAGCATGCTTGTCCCTCTCCTGTCTCCTCCGACGGCCCGCACTCACATTACATTCGGGCCTGGCCATCGATAATGTTGTGTTCAGTAAGCGCTTTCGCTCAGCACAGTGGAGATTTCTTCAGTTATATCGTTTAAGTCATTTGATATGCAGTGACACGCAGTAAAAATATTTCGCCTAACAGATCAGCCTCTGCTGATGCTCATAAACAATTATAAAGTCCTCCTGCTGCAGGAATTAGGAAGTTTGCTGAAGGTGCAACTGTTGTGCAGTGAGGGGTTTGCATCTTTAATAAACTACGACAGTTTGCGTTCATTGAACAGTAAGAATCCATATGAAACAGTCCCTTAAAAATCACGTCTTGCTTTCAGTTTCGGGCTCAGGCACCTTTTGCACTCACACACAAATGTACTGCGCCAAAGCCCAAGTGAACCGCACACCTCTTCGAACCGGGCCAGGGCTGGCCAAAGTGAACTGTGCTTGAGCCCGATTCAGAGCACTTACACTTCTGAAACAATCCGGGAAACGGGCCTGGGCACAGTTCGGATAGCAGAGTGTAAGTAGGCCCTTATACGCTGAAGATAAAACAGCAAGCTGCAAACAAAACAAACACAAACACCAGGAAGAAAGTGCGCATCTTAAGCATGCCCAGACCTTAAACAGAACCGCTCACAGCCCACGCGCAACCAAGACGGCGCTCATTCAAAAGATGAAGACAGACAGGAAATATGAGTGCTCGACTCAAGAAAACTCAAACCAAGCACAACATACTAGACAAGACAAGACTAATGTCTGGACTCTGCCACCAAAACAAGAATTAACAAGACTGTAGAGGCAGAATTCTGACACAAGCGTTTATAAACCTTTATGAGTTACTTTCTTTTGTTGAAAACTAAAGACGATATTATGAAGAAAGCTGAAACCTGCAACTATTGATTTCCGTAAACAAATAGTATGCAAGTCAATGGTTACAAGTTTCCAGCTTTCTTCAAAATATCTTCTTTTGTGTTCAACAGAAGAAGAAAAAAAGTTTTGTAACTAGTGAAGGGTGATTAAATGATAACAGAATTTTCATTATTTGTTGAACTATTCCTTTTAAGTACCAGAAGTAACACTTTTTTCAAACTGTTAATTTTTTTCAGCTTCATTTCCATTAACAAAATGTTTATAGTTAGTTTTGCAGTCCTGGGGCCTCATGTATCAACGCTGCGTACGCACAAAAACTTTGCGTACGCCAGGTTTCACGCTCAGAATCGCTCACGTTTGGATTTACTAACAATGAACTGAACGTGGGAATTTGCGCAGGTTCACGGCAGCTTTCTGGCAGGCGTACGCACATTTTTTGTGCGTGTCTGTTTTATTTCCATTGGCGACTCCTAGAGGCAGTTGTGTTAAATTCTTCTCTACAAAGTGTCTGATCCTTGCAATGGCAGCTGTATGAGACGGGTTCATATAGTAGGTATGTAAGATTTCCATACCATACAGTTGACCAGCTAAACATTAAAGCACAATTTGCAGCGGTCGCCTGTTTTCCCAATGTAATCTGAGCTATCTACTGCACGCACATTGCTATAAAGACACTATCTGAAGATGAATTTGCATGCGTGAATCAGAAACATTTCCATTCAATAAATGTGCAAATAAAATATGATGCACAAACTTATTAATGATTCCTACTTGTCTTTCTCGTGATAAATAGTGGGCAAAATCTGATATGTAGCGGGAAAAAAAGAAGAAAGAATTCATCAGACGCTGGATTCGAACCGAGTTTGTGCTCGAACGTGTCGGTATATGATCATATGCTTCTTATGAGGTGCGCCACTGAGACTGCTAAGAGTACTGCAACAGTTTACAGATATAAACCACACTATTTCTTTTGTAAATGCACTCAGTGCGATGTTCAGACCCAACTGTGTTAACCGTATCAGCTAAACTCTCCCACTCTATTTTTTTCTTTTGTTGTTAATTCCGGAGAACAAACTTGCAAATAACACCGCTTTTCTCCGTTCTACCTCCGAAAGCAGCACCTCCAATTCACATTCTGTTCAAAGTTTCTCTTTTTGTTTGATTTTGCCGTTGCTTTTTCGTTGGGTTTTTCCATTAGCATAGTCATTAGCATATTCATACGGGGGAGGAGGCAGGGAGGGGTTTTGCGCTCGTGCATGTTGCGCTCAGTTTCACGTTCATTCGGATGTACAAAAGAATATGCGTGAGATTCGGCGTACGCAGTGTTTCATACATCTGAAATTTTTTCTGCGTGCGCACATTTACAGCTTTGTGCGTACGCAATGTTTTAGTAAGATTTCCACGCAAGTCTTCGTACATGAGGCCCCTGGTGTAATGTGGAAAAACCCTGAAAAATATCGCAACTGGTTAGGACAAAAACTCATGTAAGAGCTTTAAGTGTTCATCAGGCATAGTTAGGAAACTTGTCATCTCTAGTTTGGAGGAACACAATGTTCCTCTGAAGTCAATGGGGTTCACAGTGTGCCTTGTGTGTGTGTTTTTAATGGCTGCGATCGGAACAGTAAACTGCACCTCCCAACAGCCCCTCCTCCTCTAAATGAGGGTGAAAGTCTTGTCAGCAGAATTCTGCAGTTGGGTCCACCCGGCACCAAATTCCTCGGGTAGGACAGATCCTGACGCCAAAAATCTACTGGATACAACCCCCCCCCCTCCCTAATTATTTTATATACATCTCCATCTCCAAGATCTTCCTTTTATTTTGTCTTATTTTTCAATCTTTGTTTTTGGAAGTTTTAAGGTGTTTATGAATTTACCTTTCCCCCTTTTTGCCTTTTTGATATCATTTGATTTTAATCTTTAAACTGTCTTCACTTGCTTAATGTATGCTGTGTGTTGCATTATCCATTGTTTTGTTTGTTCTCTTTTTATATCATGTCGCATGCCACATTTTTCTGTTTTTATGTCCTCAGTATACGTAATATCTATTTCAGACCAACAACCCTCATTTTGAATCGCATACAAATGTAAAGAGGTGTACTTGGCTGAAGTAGTGCCCCATATTTTCCAGGCCTGTAATAGTGGAGATCCCGCACTTCGCTGCATTGCGTGGGACAGAGAGAGAGTTAGTGATTCTGCGGAGTGAGACGGGAGAGAGCTGGAGGGAACATCACTGTGAGCATACAGAAGAAGAGCTCAATCAGATACTCAATGGCATGGATGAGGGTGAGTAAGTCCTGAAGGCACACAGAAACAACACACACTCAGGTTAAGCTCAGCCAGTTGCACTACAATGCTCTTTCCCCACCATTTGATGAGATGATGTTTCTAGTCAATTAAGAGACAATGCTTCTGTGCCATTGAAGACTTTTTACGGTAATCCGTGTTTGAGGTGTATCCGCTTGAATGGGACATCACACAAAGCGGCTTCCGGGTCCAAGCACTCTATCAAACTGTATAGGGAGACTCATGAAATGGAAATAATAAACGTTTACAAAGGGATGTAATACTTTCGAAAATCACGATCACAATATATATGTCCATGCCTAATATCCGATGGCCAGAAAGCCCAGAGATTGTTGTGTACACTTTGTCTTTATATGCAATTCACTTTAATGTGTGATATGAATAAAAAGTGATAATAAACGGATATTTTCTCAATTTAAATGACTAGCGGCTTGGACTTGGATACAGTATTACATATGTCACCAACACGCACCACTTAACAAGCGGATTTTGGTAAGGGAAGCCTATCACATGTTATGAAGGACTTCTAGGCCTCCTGGATATGAAATATAAAGAAGATCGATGTAAGTGTAGATCAGATTGCATGTAAAAATGAAGAGTTACATAAGTTTCTTTTAGCGAAAGAAGTGAAATTCACCGTCAATCTGGTTAAATTTATAAAGCTGTGTGAATGTTTTACAAACTTTTTTGCCAAAGATTTAGCTTTTTTTATGAAACCTATCTGCATTTAAGAGTTGATATGAACAGATAAAAATCAAATAAAATGTGTCAGTTTCTTATTTTTATATATAATTTGGTCATATGTTCAAAGTAGAAAATATTCTGAGGGCCATCAAATTTAGCAGAAAAAAACACGGGTGGGGAAAGAGTTATAAAATAAGTATTTTATGCTCACCAACACTGCATGTGTTTGATAGAAAATAGTCAAAAAATATGAAGTAAAAGAGAAATTTATTTTATTCTAGTAATTGCAAGCCTGAATTTTCCGCCTTGTCTCTGGATCCTTCAGAAATACAATATTATAATGATTTGTTGTAAACACTTTCAAGATTTGATATATATTATTTTTCTTTCAGAATTGTTTGAATTGTAAACTTGAAAGAAAGAAATCTTCTGTAGCAGTATAAATGTATACAAATATGAATAAATATTTTACTATGATTTTCGGAAAAAAGAAGTGTCAAAGAAAGTTTGGTGTCCTGTTGGACCGTATAACAGATCTGTGAAAAGTGTAGATTTTTTTATTGTATTGTGAGATGTTCTCACAGAAATATAACCACAATTTATATACACTTACTTGAATAGAAACAAAATCTGATTTAATACATCTCTTAAAGTGCCCTTATTTTAAAGGTTTCTCACTTTTCTCTTATAATAGGTTTACATGCTCCCAAGAGGCAGTGGTTAGCACTATCGCCTCATAGCAAAAAAGTTGCTGGTTCGAGTCCCGGCTGGGCCAGTTGACATTTCTGTGTGGAGTTTGCATGTTCTCCCCATGATTAAATAGGTTTCCTCCAGGTGCTCCAGTTTCCCCCCACAACCCAAATATGAATTGGATTAACTAAATTGGCCGTAGTGTATGAGTGTGTGTGTGTGAATGGGAGAGTGTATGTATGTTTCCCGGTACTGGGCTGTGGCAAGCAGGGCATTCGCTGCATAAAACATATGCTGGAATAGTTGGCGGTTCATTCCGCTGTGGCGACCCTTGAGAAATCAGGCACAAAGCCAAAGAGAAATGAATGAATGCTCCCAAGATCAAAAAAACATTTTTATTTTCTCATAATATGCAATTTAAATCACCTTAAATCTTAAAGAACCTCAGTTGTTTTGTTTTGTTCGTTTGAAGTGGTGCTTTAAATACTTGAAATCTCCCTTGAAAAAAAAACATGTTTTTTATATATTGGTATATGGTAATGATATTTGTAATTTTACTCCCAGAATTGGACCCTCCTGAGGAGCTGGAGAAAAAGCGAATCTGCCGCCTCATCACACGGGATTTCCCACAGTACTTTGCAGTGGTGTCGCGTATTAAGCAGGACAGTCATCTGATTGGTCCAGAGGGAGGGGTGTTGAGCAGCACACTTGTTCCACAGGTCCAGGCTGTGTTCCCAGAGGGAGCACTCACTAAACGCATACGTGTGGGGCTACAGGTAATCCACTCAGATTTTTTCCAACACGGTTTTAAACATAATAGTTTCAATAACTCATTTCTAATTACCGATTTATTTTATCTTTGCCATGATGACAGTACATATTTACTAGATATTGTCTACATACTAGTATTCAGCTTAAAGTGCAATAATTATTATTAATAATTATTATTAATTATAATTAAGGATTATAAATTATTAATTATTTTGACCATAAAATGTTTTTTAAAAATTCAAAACTTATTTTATTCTAGCTGAAATAAAACAAATAAGAGTTTCTCCAGAAGAAAAGAGATTGATAGGAAATACTGTGAAAAAATCCTTGCTCTGTTAAACATCTTTGAGAATTTTTTTTTTTTTAATTACAGGAGGTCTAATAATTTTGACTTCAAATGTATATGTCAAATCGTGTAATGTTAAATAATGCAATTTTTTTTCTTAAAGTGACACGGTCATTAAATGGCAACTGAACATTAAAATAAATCAGGTTTATTTACTGCTCTTTAAACTATTTGACTTTAATAATCTTTGGAAAAATAATACAATTAAAAAAGTGTGATAAGATTTATGCTATCATTTTTTTGTAATCTAAATAGTTTATTCTCATTTCATTTTTTTTCTTATTGTTTTTAATGCGTCTTTTCAATGCTAATTATTTACTGTCTCCATTAAATCCTTTTAGTAGATTTTTTTTATGAGAAAGAGAATTTGCGTAGGCAGAAGTTGTTGGTAAATCTGGCCCCTGCTGGCTTTCTTATGACTGATTCAGTTGAGATTTGGAAGTTTATTAATGTAGCAGCAATTTTACAGTGCTTAGCATACAGTACACCCTCTAAAATCTCTTTTAAATTAATTTTTTTAATAGGAAGCTATTCAATATTAGTGTATATTTGTGCATATACATTAGATTAGTCAGTACTGAAGCCAAATATATGATGACAGTCCAAAATATAGTTCACCCAAGTGTATATATTAGAGAAAAATATTAAATACAAACAAAAAAAAAAGAGGAAAAATCAAAAGAAGCAAAAAAAATTGTAATTTAGTTCATTTTTTTTGCAATATTTTGCTTGAATTCAATTGTATTATCCTTTCATTTCTAAATATGTTTGGGGGCTAAAATATTATTTTAATAAATATATCTGTTAAATAAATCTGTTTAGTTTAAATGCACCAAAATACATTGCCTATATTCACTGAGAAATAGATAACAATATTCATTTTTAAATTAGGGTGTACTCAATTATGCTGAGCACTGTATGTATGTAAAGGCAAACAAATATTATGCTGAGAAAGTAAGACTAAGGTGGCATTTTATTTTAAAGTCTTGTTCATTGGTTCTCATTCATAGTGAAAATGTAAAGAAAATATTCAGATTTTTTGGGTAAAAAAGATCAAGTTTTTATCACTTGCATTTTTCTGTTAGGCCCAGCCAATCGGTGAGGACCTGGTCAGAAAGATCCTGGGTAACAAAGCTACATTTAGTCCAATTGTTACACTGGAGCCCAGAAGACGCAAGTTCCACAAGCCCATCACCATGACTATTCCTGTCCCTAAAAGCCCAACCAGTGACGGGACCAACAGTACACCCACTCTACGACTGCTATGTAGCATTACTGGTATGTGAGAATAAAGTGTAGGAGTTTATCTAACAGGAAAAAAACGTTGCATAAGTAAGCCATTAAAAGGTGTGAATGGCTCTAAGATTTGTATTTTTTACAGGTGGGACGACTCCAGCACAGTGGGAGGACATAACTGGATCCACACCACTAACATTCATCAACCAGTGTGTTTCTTTTACCACCAATGTGTCAGCAAGGTGAGTTCGTCACAGTGGCAGTCTGTTGACAGGTTTCCCTTGGAAAATAATTTAACAGAACACTCCTCTCTATTGGAAATAAACTTATTTTACAACTCACACAAAGCCAAACAGTTCAGTTTTACCATTTTTGAATCCATTTAGCTGATCCCTGAGTCTGAACATTACAATGGGTAGATCACAGCAGCCTGACATATGCAAAAGACTTAAAAACTTAAAATTGAACACAAACATTTAAAACACAAAAGAAGAAATTTAGAAGAAAACTGGATACCTATAACCACTGGCATTCATTGTATGTAAAAACACTGCAGTGTTTGGGTGTTCTGTGGGTGTTTTGTGTTTGTCTGAAGTAATTAGTCTACCATAATGTGTATATTCCTTACAAAGTATGAAGCTGATCGGTCAGCCCTTGACCCCGTGACTCGCGGTTTTCAACTGGTGCGCCTGGAAAATGCTAGCCAGGTGCCTTCATTGGAAGTGAAAGACGTGATATGTGAACGGCCCCATAAGTAGCTACGCTACTCTTTACATTCAGAAAATACCTTCACTCCCGTTAAAAAATCCCAATTAAGACTGTTTAAACTGCATTTAATGTATTTATTTTTACCAAAAATCAAGGTTTCTGCCTGTATTTCCACTTGAAGAAGCAAAAACTCGACAGCAACCATTTCAGCTTGAGTTCTCCAGCAATTTAAAAGAACATGCTTATTAACTGACATGACAGCAGAACATTTTATTTAAAAAGAAGATTTTTTTTCCTAAAGTCTATATTTGTAATGTATATAACGCAATTACTTTGACTTTAATTACTGTAATCAAATTACACACATTTAAAATGTAATTTGCTACATTACTGCGCTCCCTAAAAATGTAATCAGAATACAGTAACGTGCTACACCTAACTCTGCTAGGAACTATACTCCCATTCAAGAGAAATAATCAAGAAACTTTGCTGTCATACCAAGGTTGCAGCAGTCCCAATGATGTTATGCAGTGTTGTAACCTTGTTACTTATTTTAAGGTGCAGCATAAAATCATTGCACCTGCTGCAACCATGGTTAGGCAGCAAAGTTCCCTATTTATTACACCAGAATGAGTATAGAGAGAGTATAGTTCTTAGCCATATTAGCCTAGAAAATAGCAGCTTTCCATTATCCATCTGTATTAGTACACAGTGTAAATAATTATCAAGCTATAAATGGAAAAAACGGTAACACTTTACAACAAGCACATGAATAATGATGTATTATATGTAAACTAAACATTACTTTATTATGAATTAATGAGTTAAGCCATGCGCCAATCATAAACTAACTTTAACTACAACATGAGTTTAGGTGTGAGTAAAGGCTACCTTAATTACTTTGTTTCTACATGTTGTTAATTAACATATTAATTAACATTTAAGTTTAAGTTAAATGTAACTTTACTTGGAGGGTACATCATCATTAACTCATCCTTAAGTACTCATAAACTCCTGTACTTAAACTGTTCATGTTGATGTTGACAGAACACATTTTTATTGTTATTCAGTGTTATTCAGACGGATGTCCACAAGGAGTTCATTAGTAATTAAGAATGTTTTGATGATGGTGTGCCCCTCCTAGTAAAGTCATGATATAATTATACATTAACATATCATGAGTTCATGATGGTTAAATTAAGCATAAACTAATGTGGTAATTAATAAATTATTTAACAAACAAGCATGTACTAACAAGTAATTAAGATAGCCGTCATACGCATATAAACTCATGTGACTCATGTTGTAGTAAAAGATTAAGTTTATGATTAGCGCATGCATTAACTCATCATTAGTTCATAATAAAGTAATGTTTAGTTTACATATTAACATATTATTATTCATGTACTATTATTGTATAGTGTTACCGAAAAAACAATCAAAACTCTTTTGGTCTAATTTGATTCAATGATTTATGCTAAGCTAAGCTCAAAGTATGCTAATGGTCTAATGCAATTCAATGATTTATGCTAAGCTAAAAGTATGCTAATGGTCTAATCTGATTCGATGACTTATGCTAAGCTAAGCTAAAAGTGCTCCCACCACACCAAGAGATTGAATGAATGGATTCAAAAATGGTAAAACTCAACAGTTTACTTCTAGGTGATTAGTAAAACGAGCCTTTTTCCAAACAAAGTGGACATTTCCTTTAATAATATATCTTTTTTTCTCAGGTTTTGGCTAATAGACTGCCGTCAGTGTCAGGAGTCTGTGAACTTTTCCAGTCAGTTGTATCGTGAGATCATTTGTGTTCCTTATATGGCCAAGTTTGTTATCTTCGCCAAGACATTGGATCCCATCGAAGCCAGACTCCGCTGCTTCTGTATGACTGATGACAAGATGGACAAGACTCTGGAGCAGCAGGAGAATTTTACTGAGGTGGCCCGTAGTCGAGATGTTGAGGTAAATGTGGTTTAGCTAGTCTTTTCATTGCGAAATGAAAAAAAATAACCTGTTCAGCTAGCAGCTAGCTCTCTGCAACTCTCACATTCAATTCAATTCAATTCAGCTTTATTTGTATAGCCCTTTTACAATGTAGATTGTGTCAAAGCAGCTTCACATAAATGGTCATAGTAACTGGAACAGTGTGGTTCTGTAACTGTAACAGTGTGGTTCAGGTTTTAGTGTTTAAGTTCAGTTCAGTTCAGTTTAGCTCAGTTCAGTGTGATTTAATCATTACTGAGAGTTCAAACACTGAAGAGCCAATTGGTCTCCACATGGTCGCCCACTGAAGCTAAGCAGGGTTGTGCCTGGTCAGTACCTGAATGGGAGACCACATGGGAAAGCTAGGTTGCTGCTGGAAGTGGTGTTAGTGAGGCCAGCAGGGGCCGCCCAACCTGCGGTCTGTGTGGGTCCTAATGCCCCAGTATAGTTACGGGGACGTTTTGGATGAGACGTTAAACCGAGGTCCTGAGTCTCTGTGGTCATTAATAATCCCAGGATGTCCTTCGAAAGAGTAGGGCAAGGGTGGCCAACCCTCTTCCTGGAGAGCCACTTTCCTGCAGATTTTAGTTGCAACCCATATCAAACACACCTGCCTGTAATTATCACGTGGTGTTCAGGTCCTAATTAATTGGTTCAGGTGTGTTTGATATGGGTAGCAACTGAAATCTGCAGGAAGGTGGCTCTCCAGGAACAGGGTTGGCCACCCCTGGAGTAGGGGTTTAACCCCAACACCCTGGCCAAATCTCTCACTGGCCTTTGTCCATCATGGCCTCCTAACCATCCCCATATGATAATTGGCTTAATCACTCTGTCTCTTCTCCACCAATCAGCTGGTGTGTGGTGTGCGGTCTGGCATAAAATGGCTGCCGTCACATCATCCAGGTGGATGCTGCACACTGGTGGTGGATGAGGAGATTCCCCCCTATGTGTAAAGCGCTTTGAGAGCCCAAAAAGTGCTATATAAATGTAAGAAATTAATTAATTAATTAATTGTTCAATATTTATTTTTACAGGTACTAGAGGGAAAGCCAATCTTTGCAGACTGCTTCGGCAATCTGGTCCCACTGACTAAAAGTGGACAGCACCACATGTTTAGTTTTTATGCCTTTAAGGAAAACCGTCTTTCTCTCTTTATCAAAGTAAGCGATTGTCATTTGTAATTCTAATTATATTAGATAAATGTGGAGAAAAACACAATGAGTTATAGTTTATTTATTGTCATGAAACAATATATTGCTGGTTGTTTTAACAGATTCGCGACAGCACTCAAGAACCGTGTGGTAGATTGTCTTTTACAAAAGAGCCAAGAACATATCGAACTCTTAATCACAATGCAATATGCAATCTGAACATCTGCCTACCTGTCTACTCAAAGGTAAGTGCAAAACACTCAACTAATGTTAACTCACAGCTACACACTGTATACTATGCAAATGCATACACAAACACATCAAAAGCCAATAGCTTTTATTTGGGGGCCGTTCGCACCGAACGCGCATTTATGATCCAAAAACACAAAGTGCACGTACTGCCTTTTTTGTTGACAAGAAAAGAACGACTGAATCAGCTGGATACAGTGCGAGAGTGTTGCTGTTGATATTAATATCATTTTAATAATTAATAATATTGTGATATTGATGATTTGTAAAGTCGTACTGTACAACTGTGGATGACCCAAAAAAGCAACCACAAGTCTCTCCTACATCTTCAAAAGTCTTCGTTGTTGTCCTGACAACACAAACACTGCAGGCACCACAACGAAAACCCCACCTCTGCTTTCCTTTGAATGTAGAATGAAAAAGACGAGAGTGACGTAACACTCTTTATCTGCTCAGAGTTGACTTTTTTTCAACTGAGAGCGCTCAGCATGCAATGGTAAAAAGTGAGGCACAGCAGGAGGTTAAAACACCAGGCGTGCTGGGTGCAATAGCAGCGTGCAAAACGCTTGCGGCCTTTAGTAAACTATTTAAAAGAGGTGGCACTCAATGCATAAACTGCGTTCCTTGTGATCTGCCCCTTAAAGGGCCATGAAACCCTTCCTGTTTTCCTCCCCAGCACTCCCACCTAAACAGAGCTGGACTCACCCACTTGCCTGACTTTTTTCACACCTCTAGTTTGAAACAAGCGCTGATTTTCACAGAGGCAAAACAACACACAGACACAGAGGAGAAAGACAGTGATTATGGCCCCGTTTACACTAGTGCGTATTAGTTTTAAAACGGCGTTTTAGAATGAAAACGATCCGCGTCCACACTCGCGTTTTACCCAGCGTTTCTGAACTGCTCTCCGTCCACACCAAAACGCTGAAAACGCACATCACGTGACCACACACACACACTTTGGCAATCGCTGGAGCCCATCTACCCAGATGAGAGCTCTGCTAGTCGGACTTCTCATCAAGCATCTCCCGCTGGATCTAATCTCACTATATTTATTAAACGGGATATTTCATTCATCTTGTTGTCTTTATCTAACGACATATTCCCTGACTTTGGTCACTGGAATCTATTACTTGTTCTCAGGTAACGTGTTTTGGCTGAGCGCAAAGATAAGTTAATGATTAATGTAAGCACGTAGCCTACATTCTGTATATTGACTGATCGCTTGCCTTTATTTCCTATAATGTATAAACTTATTGTATGTTATACTTTTAAAATGGCCATTATCGATTATTAAAACTGATATTCAGCAAAAGAGAGGGTGTGTTTCGTATTTTCACTGAAATTGAAAGGAGGCAGTTGTTATCGGCTCCGTTTTGTTATAAATATGCACACAGTGAAGATGATGCTCATGCAGCACGACGCCTCAACATTTCTGCTGTCTGTTTAGTTGTTAATATTAAAATAAAAATAGGCAGTTCCTTATATCAAGTTTACATTTTATTGTTGAGAAAGTGAAACAACGTAGCCAAGGTGATGTGAATGAAGTTATAAAGTACACTGTTCCCTGTGAAGATTGACGCGTGTCCTCGGTATGTTTTCCATATCAAACTGAGAAGAAGAGATGCAGCCTTGATCAAACTTGCGAAGTCTGAACTTACACGGAGAAGATTCAGGACTGAACTGTGTGTGGGCTACTTAATATTGAGGAAAAGCCCCAATCAGAGAGGTGAATGTCTGCAGCCCCGCCTCCGTTTTTAGATGTCTCCGTCTTTCCCCATCCACACTGAGACGGAGCAGCAGCGTTTTAGAATGAAAACGGCCTCTCCAGCGTTTTCGAAACGCTCCGTTTTCGGCGCTCGAGAACTCCGGCGTAGTGTGGACGGAGGCGTAACCGTAGCAAAACTTATGCGTTTTCAAACTAAAACGCATTAGTGTAAACGGGGCCTATGTTTACCCGGACAATTTTAACTGCAGTTTTGCACTTTCACTTTCATTCAGGAACATTTCATGCATGCCCCCCATGACAAACCAGACATTGGATTGTATTTAGTTAAGCCAAATTTAAACTGACAGTTGTATTTTTACTCTTAAGGATTCTGATTCAGACCAAGATGCAGATGAGGAGGTAAATACCAATTTTACACACACACACACACAAAACGTTTTCATTGCAAAAATGCTAGTGCTATTAACGTTCTTTGTTTTAATGCATTTTCTTTATAGAGTGAGAAGACACATGAGAAATGTAAGCACTATTCAAGTCAATTATTTAAAATATTTATAATCTAACATTATGTGTAACGTCTTGTAACTGTAGGTTACCATTTTATTAGTTCACTGTATTGTAGAAAGCATATTAACAAGTGATTATATATATAACAGAAGTTAGATGCAAAAACCTCTAAAAGCAATTTCATATTTTCTTCTAAAATTAGTATTTTTCTCTGACTCCTGTATGTAGGCTCAATAAATTTACTTTTATAGTGACGAATAATTACTTTTCAAATGAAATAACTGAATATAAACATCGGAGGCTGAGAAAAATGCTCATTTTAGGAGAATATTTCAGACAACATTTAGAGGTTTTTGCATCTGAACTCTTCGTGGATCCCTGATTGCTGTGCTATGGCTGATTAACATCACTTCTTTCATTTTTATGTTTAATAGTCTGCTGTTTTCATAAAACATTACATTCAGTTATATTCTCTCACAGTAGTATCTTACTTCTGGCATGATGTTTTTTTTTAAAAATGTTTACTTAATAATAATGATTTGAGTAAAGTTCTTTACATGCCAAAAGGGATACTAAAAAACAAACCATTCTCCTTGAAAACAGAATCAAATAGAGCAGGCACATATTAATTTGCCTGTTATGAAACCACTTAATTTGCTTGTCACAAAACTCACCTTTGCATGGATCATTTTCCTTGCATGGAAATAACTTGACTTACACATATTATATTATTGTACATGTATGTGTGTGAAAGTGTGTCTGCTTAGCCTGAATGTGTGGATATTTATTTTTATGAAAATATGCATAATTTATGTGACATTTTTCCCTATCACTCACATTCTTTGTTTGATTTGATTCACTTGTGTTTTTTACCCCTCTCCCCCTCCTTAAAAGAAAAAAATCCTTATAATTTCCTCCAGTCTTAAAACAAATTCCCATATGTTAAACAACTCCATGATTAACCTAAAGTTCTACATAACTAAACAAAGCCATAGCATTTGATAATTATAAAGTGATTTATGGGAAAAGCCTCTGATTTGATCTCAGTGCTGTTTTAAGGGCATATTGGTTTGAACATGCTTTCTGTGTTTGTATTGACACGGGCTCTTCATGTTGAGAACAATCTTGAGATGCCTCATTGGTACAGCTTCACTCTGTGTTATGATTACTTTCCCCATTTGTTCTTTGTGCACAGGTTTATGTGTTACTTTTTCTTACCCTTTGTTTTCTTTATACTTGCCTTGTGCAAGCGTATGAGTGGATTCTTGAATCAATATAACATGTTTAAGCAAGTTATTTCCTGCCCATTTACTGTCTTCACTCTGTAATTCTTTTGTAATTGCTTTGCTTAACTGCTCCTATGCCTTCCCAAATCCTTTGGATCCAAATTTAGACAAACTTATAGATGTTCATCATTCTATCAGGTAGTTTCCTCATGATGTGAACTAAAGAGAGTTTGTATTGCTCCTGCCCTGACTAGTTTTCCAATGTCTTTTGTCCTTTTCATTTCCCCCTTTGTTCTTCACAAACACTTTGTTCTGTTAAAATGGAAGATTACGATGGATCTGATTCAACAGAGCTTTCCATGCTGCAAATCATACATGATCCTGCTACACTCGCAAGTCCAGATCTGCTTTCAGAGGTGTCTGATATGAAGCAGGACTTGATTAAAGTATCAGTCCTTCTAACTTCTGAAAAGTCATCCTCCTCTAATACTGGAAAACGATTAAACCAAGCTGCAGATGAGGAAGTGGATGAGCCATTTGAAATAGTTGAAAAAGTGAAAGAGGACTTGGAGAAGGTGGAGGTGATCCTCCGGGAGGGAACAGTGGATGAAATTGGTGGAATTGGAAGATCTGTTACCATTGATGATGAGGAGTGGGTGCTACTCAGTGAGCAGGATGTTGATGAATTCAAAAGCAAAAACATCACTGAAGTCCAAGAGACACTTGTTCAGGAAGTTCGAATTATAAGAGACACTTTGTCTAGCTCTTCCCCTAAGAGGGATATGACAGGGATGGTTTCGTATCTTAGCAATGACTTAGAACAGTGCCTGCAGGAAATGCCTGTGCCATCTAGTCATTCACATGATGTGGATATTGTTCAAGAAAGCTTTAAAGAGGTTGTTTTGGCCCGTGGTAAGCACCGTCCAGCAGAAATAAAAAAGCCAGCAAGGAAAAAGCGCAAAGAGAGGGAGTTTGCAAGTGGCAGTTCAGAGGATGACTTGGAAAGGATGAGTAGGAGTCAGTCTGAGGAGTCTCTTGATGAAGATGCAATTATTGGTGGATCTGAATATGTCTTTGGATCTGTTCCTGTGTCTCCAAAGGTTGTAGAAACTCCCATTGGTTCCATTAAGGACAAGGTTAAGGCACTACAAAAGAAAGTTGAAGAAGAAAAGGTGACAGACAGTCAAAAGTGGAATTCTCAAAAAGTAAGTAGTTCCCAGAGGACTTCCTATATTGCAGAGACTGAAAAATCATACCGGTATCCTCCAAAATCCCCAAAATCTCCAAGATCACAAACAGAAAGGCTTGAGGAAACCATGTCAGTAAGAGAGCTAATGAAGGCCTTTCAGACTGGCCAAGATCCATCAAAAAGTAAGTCTGGACTTTTTGAGCATAAAGCAATAACAACTGTTACCTCTGAAAGTTCTGATATGACGCAGGTTCCCACAGCATTTGATAACCAAATGACAGTAACAACCCAACATTTACATGAAGGAATAATTACAACTGTAACATCTGAAGCTTCAAGTTCTGATGTTGTTCAAGTTCCTGTAGCATATGATGCCCAAACAGCAATCTCAACCCAACATTTACAAGAAAAGTTTGCAGTAGAAAATGAGATTCTTCAAGAATTGTCTACTGACCCAAACACTATTCTACATAAACCAGTGATTGGTGATGGCGAATCACTTTCAACAACAACCGCTCAAAATAAAGATGATCAAGCTGTAACTACCAAGACTATTTTCAACTTAAAAGAAGAAAAAGATTTAGATGACCGGCTCACTAAGCTTAAAACTCACCAACATGAAAAACCATCTCAGGAACCAGGAAGATTTGAGACTGAGAAACATGTTTCTTCTGAGCTACTAGGAAACAAAGAAATTGTGATGCTACCCTCTGAAAATCAAAGTTCTGATGTGATGCTTATTGCTCCAACATATGATGGCCAAATGGCAGTAACAACCAAAAATGAACAAGAAAGAGACCTTCCAACTGTACATTCTGAAGCTACAAGTTCTGATGTAATACAGGTTCCTACAAAGTTTGATCACCAAATGATAGTCTCATCCCAACATTTACAAGTAGTAAAAAGCAAGATCCTTCAAGAACCATCTATTGACCCAAACACAGTCTCATCCAAACATTTACAAGTAGCAGAAAGCAAGATCCTACAAGAACCATCTATTGACTCAAACACACTCTCATCCCAACATTTACAAGTAGCAGAAAGCAAGATCCTACAAGAACCATCTATTGACCCAAACACAGTCTCATCCCAACCTTTACAAGTAGCAGAAAGCAAGATCCTTCAAGAACAATCTATTGACCCAAACACAGTCTCATCCCAACATTTACAAGTAGCAGAAAGCAAGATCCTTCAAGAACCATCTATTGACCCAAACACAGTCACATCCCAACATTTACAAGTAGTAGAAGGCAAGATCCTTCAAGAACCATCTATTGACCCAAACACAGTCGCATCCCAACATTTACAAGTAGTAGAAAGCAAGATCCTTCAAGAACCATCTATTGACCCAAACACAGTTCAACTTATGCCAGTGATTGGTGATGGGGACACACTTCCAACAACTATAAGTAGTTCTTGGTCCATTAAAAATAAAGATGAAGAAGTTGTAACTTCCAAAATTGTCTTGAGCTTTGAAGAGGTACACTCTCCAGAGGACCTTCTACTAAAGCCTAGAACAATTGACCAACATGGAAAACCATCTAAAAAAACAGGAAGTTTTGAGACTGAGGAACAACAAATGACTCCTGAACTACTTAGAAATGAACACATGGGGTTGAAACCTGAGAAAATGTATTATGAAGATAACATCTACCAGAACAGGAGATTGTCTGTGGAACCTCAAATCAGCCCAGACAGGAAACCATCAGAGGACTTCAGTGCAGATATTAAGGCAGAACTTGAAGACAATCCTGAATACCTGCTCTTTAGGCGAACTTCAGGTGGAGCAAGTAAACGTCACATGATGTTTAGTGATGCTCTTTCTAGTGATGATGAGCAGATACAACAGATGGCTGTGGATCCAAGTAATTCAAACATAATCACTGCATTTGCTACTGCAATGGTGCAAGGAGAACCTTTACTTCAAAGTGAAGTAGATGATAGAGCCTTGGAAGGAAGTCCAGATGGTGACAAACATGAAGCCTGGGCAGACTCTCCTGGTGGTAGCATAGGCCTGAGAACTCCTCACTCAAGCTCAGGCGACAGTGAGAAACACGAGGGACTTGCTGAAACTCCTCAAAAAAGCCCTGAAATCCTAGTTTTATCTTCCAGTACAACTACTAAAGAAACAGAAGACCAAGGAAATCAGGAGACAACTCACAAAACAAAAGTGTTAATATCACATGAAAGAAGAGAAATGGGTGAAGATGACAAATTATATTCAGTAACTTCCATAATAAGCGAAACAGAATCAACATCCCCTCATGATTTTGAAACTGAATCTCCTTCTCTTTTCACAGAAACTGAGTTGCCCTCCAATAAAGATTCTAAAATACGTTCTTCTTCTTCATCCACCAGAACAGAGACATTATCTTTTGCTAATACAAATACATTAATTTATGACACTATTAAAGGTGTGAAATGGGACAGTGAAGCATCAGCACATAATATGAAAAGTGATTCATCTTCTAGAGACAGTGTGAAGCTGATAAAAACAGATGTAATCACAAAGTCTGAGAAAATACTTGAACAAAGCCAAGATACACCAGATAGACCTTATAGTTTAGATGATCTGCAGCCTGCAACCATGAGTGACTTTAAAATTGTCTGTCGAACAGACTCACTTGAGACTACTCCTATCAGAGAAGATGGGTCATCCCAAAAAACCCCAGACTCTATTGAGCCAAGCCCAACCAAAGAGTCCCCCTGTCAAGACTCTTTAGAAGGAAGTCCCACTGGGCAAGAATCTGGACAGTTAAGTTTTACTGAAAAAGTCTTCTCAACAAATCAGGCCTTTGTTTCTGACTCTAGGGAAAATATAGATATTGAAATAGGTTCTGAACAAGACATCCAGTTAGACAGTGAGTCATCCCAAGAGTCCCATGAGACTCAAGATATGCAGTGCCTTTCCATCACCCTGGACCAAAGAGAAAATTTACTTGAAAGTGAGGATCTTCATGACTTTGATGTTTTACAAAGGCAATTCACTCCAGAAGAAGAGATGTTTAAGATGGCTGCAAAGATTAAAACATTTGATGAAATGGAAAAGGATGCAAAAGTTAAAAAGGTCAAATTTGATTTTGAACAACCAAAGGAAGAAAGGCCACCACATTATAGTTCACTAGACACAGTGTTAACCAAGGAATCAGAAGACAAGTACTTGGAGAACCTGAATGAATCTGGCCTGTTGTATTCTTCATTGTCGGATGATGATTATTATAGTCCTGAGTCCCATAAGGTATCAGGACAAACAAGTGAAGTTTTAGAGACACCAAACAAACATGAGCAAAACCATACCCATTTGAAGACTGTTGATTTGCAAGCATGCACAGATATACCATATATGCAAAAGCGAGTCGATAACAAAGAAGATTATGACCAGTTACATTCAGAGTACCATAGTAAAACGACTGATGAGACTAAAACTGAGAACGAGCTCATAACTACACCAGTAGAGAGCAAAATGGGATTTGAGCCAGACACTGATGCTGATTCAGTGTCCCCTGTTGAGAGCACAACATCTGAAAAAGTAAATGAACCCATTTCTCCCATTGATATCGTAGGCGCGACTGCAGCAAATGATTTCCAGGATGAATCTCAGCTATATTTATGTGATTATGAAGAGAAGCCAGGAGAAACCCCAGGATCAAGTCCAATAGACTTAGTTCCCTGGAGTGCTGGAGTAGAGGATGATGAGGCATTTGATGCACAAATTGAAGATGAGGAACAGAAAATACTTGCCTTTAGTACAGACAGGCAGTCCCATGGAACCACCCCTGACACAACTCCGGGACGGTCACCAACTGAAGAGGGGACACCAAATCCTTTTCTCTTCCAAGAGGGAAAACTATTTGAGATGACCAGAGGTGGGGCCATTGACATGACTAAAAGGACAATGGAGGAGGAAGAAGAAAGGTTAGCCTTTTTCCCAATAAATGAAGATCCAAGTGAGGAATTTGAACGAGTCAATTTTAACATTAGTGAGTCTGATGAATTTGCTTCATTTGAGTTGCCTTCTAATGATTCTGTAAATCAAAACACAATTCCTGAGGAACTTGAAGCAAAGTCTGACAGCCTTAATAAAACTGGAACCAAGAGTGTTCAACCAGAACATCCAGAACCAATAGAATCTTCTATACAAAATAAACCAAGTAGCCCCACAGACAATAATGTCCATGAAGACACACTGATATCAAATGTTGATACCACCACTTACACAGTTACACAAACAATTCATTCTGAGCAAGACTTGGAATCCTCAGATTCTTCAGTGGAAGATGAACATATTTCTGTTGTTGAAATGCCTATATCCACCCAAGTATCTACAATTTTTTCTAGTGCCTCAGTTCACACTGCACGTGAAGATCAGTTTCAGACATCATCTTTAATGTCCACTTCATTCAAGGATATTGCAGCTGAAATTGAAGACACAACATCTAAACCAAAAATAGCTGTGAAAGCAGCCAGCTTTGACCAAATTTTAGAACCAGGAGACTCTATTGAGCAGAACCTAAGGCCTAAATCTGAAGCAGATACTGGTGACTCAGAATGGTCCATGTCTGTTGCAGAAGATCCGATTAACATAGACAGAATCTACACCATACCAAAGACTTCTTTCTCCCAAATGCCTGTTTCACCAACAGAGACTCCTCCACCTTATACTGTATCCAGTCAACCTAAACTTCCTGCTGAATTCATTCAGAATCTGGGCTCAAGTAACACCAAATGTGATGAAACTAAAAGAGACAAGTCCTCTACTGACTTAGGGATAGATAGTAATTTGAAAGCAATTCGACCTCCGTCTGTAGGCGATGATGTCTTTGAGGCAAGACCCAATTGGGAGGATTGTGTGGAGACACAGATGCAGAGAATCTCAGACAGCACTACCCCAGAACAAAGTAAAGGTATCTCTACTTGGCACTTGCCCCTCCCCCCTATTAATTATTCCAAAATTTATCTTAATTCCATGAAAGTCTCTTTCTTTAGATTTTTTTTTTGTATTGTATTTGTTTTGTGTTGTATGGTGTTCTGTTGTTTATGTATTGTGGTGTTTTGTGTTGTACTGTCTCATCTCAGTGTTGTCTTGTGTGTGTCATGTTTTGTGACTTTTTTATGTCATGTTTTATTCATTTCCATATCAGTGTAAACAACATGAATACTGAAATCTCAAGATTGACTGTCTCTACATTTGTTTACTAATAATAGTTTCTGTGCAATGCATGCCCACTACTGCATGTTTCGTCTCAATAATAATATTACTAAAAAACACCTCAAGGGCACATTTTCAGTGTAAAATGATTTAAAAATATATATATTATGGCAAGTATCATGTAACAGATTTCCACTCGCTATGTTGTCCATACAAAATTAAAAAAAACAACAACCCAGCACTGAGTAGCACTTTTGCTTTTTTTTTAGAAACTGAACGTTAGAAACTAAAATTAAAGAGATGTGCTAATGATAAGATAAACAACTCTACTCATGTGTTTATGTGATATCTAAAATATCACTAGTTTCTAGTCCATATTATAGAGTCAGACATGGCTCATTAGCAGTCCAAGTAGTTCATAAAGCAAATGAAAGTGTTATCTGAAAGCACATCTATCATTAAATATTATTGAAAAAAGCTTTGACTGATGTTTACAGTGGACTGGCATGAAGATGCAGATAGAAAAGAAGAGACTTTGGCCATCATTGCAGACCTTTTAGGTTTTAGCTGGACAGGTGAGTCAGTATAATTTTCTTTGAAAGAAGGAAGTAAAATACTTTAAGATTCCATTTCCAGCAAATTATTTCTCTATTTTCAGAGCTGGCCAAAGAGTTGGAGTTTAATGAAGATGAGATTCAGCATGTGCGTGCTGAAAACCCAAATTCACTGCAAGAGCAGTCTCATGCCCTCTTACAGCGCTGGGTAGAAAGAGAAGGGAAGCATGCAACTGGTTAGTCCTGCTTATATACTCCTTTAACAGTGAAAAGTAAAATCATTGCATATTGAAATGCGTTTCAATTAATATATTCCAATTATGTTTCAAATTCCACAGAAGACACATTGATTAAAAGACTCACTAAAATAAATCGCATGGACATTGTTCATCTTATTGAGATTCAAATGCACAAGTCAATTCAGGAACAAACATCAAGAACATATGCAGAGATTGAAAGGACCCTGGACCACAGTGAAGGTATGAAAATGGGTTCTTGTTTTCCATAAAAGGATCCTACATGCAATAATGTAAAGCCTAAAAAAGGTCTGACGAGAGTCATAGTAGATGTTTTTGTTTTTGCAGCACTCTCCTCAGTCCAAGAGGATGTTGACAGTCTTCGGGTGGTGCGGAGAGTGGAGACCTCACAAAGGCATCCTCCAGCTGTGTCAGAAGAAGACTTATCTGTTGCCTCTCTCCTTGACATTCCTTCATGGGCTGAAACAATGGGAAACACCCATTCAGAGAGCATTCATGGGGATCTTATGGAGGAACTAGAGATCAACCAGTGAGCTATTTGTTTAAATAGCTTCTTTAGTGATGATTACACCCAGTTTATTTGTCTTCTTGTGGCACACAACTAGTTGTTAACTATCTACTCTCAATGTCTCCTAGGGACAGCTTTACTAATCCATGGATGTTTCATGAGATCAAGACAGAATCCGCAAAGGAAGTAGCAGATGAAGAAGTAAGTTTGAGGCATTGTGCATTTGAGAGTTAACATCCCAAATTTCCTACAACTAAGAAACCCTCCATGGTAACTTTCTAGTTCGGAAAAAAAATAAAGGTGAATGGATAGCTGAAGAATGTTGTTTCAGGACCAACGAAAAACATTGTCTTAACGGATGACTGCAGACTGCTCTCTCCTGACCTGCCGAATAGATACAATAAAAGAATGGTTACTTAAGATGTTTCTAAATTGTTCATTGCATGTGATGTTTTTATTTGTTCTATAATTGTTTATATAAGTCCCTTCATTATCATCACTTTTCCCTTGTCACATTTTTCCATACCTCATAATTTATCCCATAGGTTTCAACAGCATCTGAGGAGGAAAATCAGGCTCAGTTTGACCTTTCAGACCATAAAAATGCTTGTCTCCCTTCATCACAAGTCAGTTCGAAAAGTCAGTCCGAGGACCACCAACAATCATCAAAGACATCTCAAAATGTCTTTGATTTCAGCCAGGTATCTATTGCAAGATTTTCATCCAGTGAAAACTCAGTTTTGTCAACAGCTGAACCTGGACAAGCAGTACCTGACCTACTGCAACATACTTCACCAGTGACACTAGAGGAAGAAACACAGCTCCAAGAACCAATGTATCAAGATGAAAGTTCTGCTTGTGCTGATCAAGTGTCACCTGTGTATGAAAAAAGCGATTTAGAAAGCAGTGAAAAATCATTAGATGCACAACTCTTTAAATCAAATGGATCTTCAGACACTATGCAGTCCCTTTCATGGCGCGAAAACAAACCATCTGAAGCTGATGAACTGACTCCTGAGAACAACCAAATAAGCCAAAATATTAGTCCATCAATTTCCCCTGGTGCAGTTGTAAGGGAGGCTGATGAAATTCTCTCACGCAGCGATGAAGTAAATCCAGTGGTTTCAAGTGTGACTCCTGACCTCATTAAGGGCTCTCCAGAATCAGATCAGGTATTTTTTACTCCTGATAAGTTTAGTGATATGAATCCAGTGCCATCAATGCAAAGCCACATAGCAGTAGAACAAAGTTTTGTTCAGTCCTGTTCTGAGGTTGACTCAGCATCACTGGAGTCACCTATCTATAATGACAACACAGTTTTAATTCAAGAACAATCGGATACCAACACCTATTCACAAGAACTTTCAGAGCCTGATGTTGATACTAGGAAAGAACAGCAAACTCTTGCTCATGAACAGGAGCTATATCTGCAAAAAACAGAAGCCTTAGGAGACCATTGTAATGACACTGAAGATAGAAATTGTCCTGGTAAAGCAGAACCACAATTGGATTCAACCACTGATCCTTTTATAGATGACTCTCAGGATTTTAGGAATGAACTGTTATCCCAATCTGAAACTGACCCAGACACATGGATCGAAAGAGGAACTGCACAGCTGAGGCAAACATCTCCTTTCCGCTCTGACCTCAGTCAACAACCAGAAGCCTGTATGCCTTGTCAACATTTTGACATCAGGGAAAAGTCTTTAGAACTTGAAACAGAAAGCAATAAGCAATCAGTTTCACATGAAATAATGACAGCCAGAGGATTAAAACGACCACAGTCTGAATCATTACTCTCTAGTGCAAGCCAGCAAATAGAAAAAAAGCATACTGAACGCTGTCTCTCTGAGTCGTCTGAACCCTTGGTACTCACTCTAAAGATTAATTTAGCACTTGAGAAAGCGGTTTCACAAGAGGAAATACTAGCTTTACCGCTGTCTCAGGATGGCAGTGACAAGGCTTTACCTCCCAAAGAGTTTAAACGTCAACTCTCAGACTCAGTTTCGTCTCGCGCAAAATCACAGGAAAAACATTCTGCCCGTTGTCTCTCTGGTTCTTCTGAAACGTTGATGCTTGATGAACTTAAGAAAACATTTCAACCAGAACAGCCATTATCTGATCATACAGTCAACTCAGAGGTGAGTGTTTCAAAACTCACTGCAGAATCCCAAGAAACATTCACAGGGGAACAGCAATCAGTGATTGAAGAAACATTAGTGGAGTCACCTAAATCTCAGATTGATCTGAGTGAACATGCACAGTTTTTCCAATCTGAGACTGGCCCAGACATGTGGATTCAAAGGGAAACTGCACAGATGAGTGAAACTTCTTCTTTGTGTAGCTCTGACCTCAGTCCACAAACACCAGAAACAGTCATAAACTGTCAACATTTCAGGGAGAAGTCTTCTGAACTTGAATCAACGAGTGCTATAAAGTCTGCTTCCAAGGGGGCAGTTGAAGCCAAAGGTTTAAGACGACCTCAGTCTGAATCGTTCATCTCTGGAGCAACCCAACAGTCAGAAGAAAAGCGTACAGACCGCTGTTTCTCTGAGTCCTCTCAACCCTTGGTACTCACACTGAACATAGATCCGGCACTTGAGAAAGTTGTTTCCCAGGAGGCCATACTTGCTTTGCCACTGTCCCAAGATGGCAACACCTTACCTTACCTAAAAGATTCCGAACGACTACTGTCAGACTCAGTTATGCATGGTTCAATATCCCAAAAAAAGGAGGGAAATAATTCTGGACCTTGTCTTACTGACTCTTCTGAGGACTTAGTTTTCAACATGAGTTCATCACCTGAGAAAATTAAGAAACCAGTTCAACCAAAACAACCAACATCTGATCAAACAGTCAACAACGAGGTGAGTGTTTTATCAGTTACTGCATCAACCCAAGACACATTTATTGGGGAACAACAATCTGCAGTTAAAGAAACATCACTGGACTCACCTAAATTCCAGACTGATCTGAGTGAAAATTATGAATTAAAAGCCAGTGAGATGCCAAAAGCTGACAAACCAAAGCTTGTTGGTGTAATAAGCACTGATCAACAACATGAAGACTCAGATCTTGAGAGTTTTTTTGATTGCAAACAGACCATCTCAGATTATTCTGAAGCAGAAGATGATGAACATTGGAAAGGCACAATGACACTTAATGATCAATTCTTGACATCAACCATTCATGAGCTACAACAAAACACGAATGTCAGAAGTCCTTCAAGCCTTGTAGCACCCGACGAGAGCCCTCGTTGGTCAGTCCAGTCATCAGATAGCGAAGATTTTGAGGACTCTCAGATCATCCATGAGCCCAGCGATGAGGGTGAAGTGAGAGACTTTTCAAGCAAGGCTAGTCTCAAAACTTCTGCACAAACTCCTCAAGAGCTTCCTCCTAGAGGAGGGGCTGAGTATAATGATGATGATGATCTAAGGAGGGTAAGCGTCATCAGCATGTCATCCCCTTCTCCATATCCTTCTCTGATCTACCCTAATCCATTTTCCACTGAATGAGTTTGCTGAAGAGATGGTGTTTGGTTCCTTTGATTTAACAATTTCACTAAATAGGTTGATTTTAAAACCTGAAAAAAATATTGACTCACTGTACCAAAAGTTACTAAATAAATAAACATTATACTGTCATATTTAGGCCTTAACACCATCATAATCACTGTCAGCTTGTTCAGATAGTGCTGATGCATGTACTATATTTATGACATTAGAAGGTCATATACTTAATATGCAGGATTTTGCAGCAACATATAACCGTACGTAATTTCAAGAGTTCATACGTAGTTGTAGATTTATAATAAGCTTGTTTGGCATGCTGTCCCAGGAGAGAGCCATGAGCTAAAGGGATTCTCGAGCCCATGGCTCCCTCCCGTTCGCAGGGCGAGAGGGGAGACTGAGCTCAGGTAGATCTCAAAAGCTCCCCCGCTGGTGTGGCTAAAGGTGAACTGCTGTAAATGGGAAAAATACTGATGCTGGGAGCTAAGCTATGGTGCTCATTTGGCTTAGTTGGTTCACACATGGCGCATGTTTTTGGATGGTGGGAGGAAACCGGGGAACCGAAGAACATGCAAACTCCACACAGAAACACCAACTGGCCCGGCAAGAACCGGAGCCGATGGTGTTCTTGGTGTTTGGCAACAGTGCTAACCACTGGGCCGCCATGCTGCACAATCTATGTAAAGAGGGGGAGAAGGGGAGAAAAGGGCAGTTTCTTCCAGACAAAGATTGTTGTCGAATGAAGACTGTGCCCTGCAAGCACAGGATGTCAACATGACGTATTATTGACATCGTACCCCAACGTTGTGGGGACGTTGGATTTTGTTTGAAAATGAAAATCGGGTTGACATCAGAACCCAACGACAGGTCGACGTCAATGTCCACCTGTAAAAATAAAGTAAAAATCCACCTAAAATCAATCAAATATGAACGTCTAATCATGTTACACCTTGACATTGTATGGACGTTACCACTATGACATCTACCAGACATTGGATTTTGGTCACTTTCCAACACAACCTAAAATCGACCAAATATCAATGTAATTTGACGTCATTTTTGGACATCTAAATAACATTGTCCTTAGACGTTGGCTAGAGCTTGAATTTTGGTCATCTGACATCAAAACCTAAATCTAACCTAATAATAATGTCTTATGATGTTGTGTGCCTGCTGGGTAGTTATTTATAGTGGCTTAAGAATCCTCTGATTGGAGGATCATGTATTAGCAAATGCAGGACCGGCTGTGGTCAATCATAAGTATGTGATCCTCTCAAAAAGTTTTTTATAAATAATCTTCACATATATTACAATTACTATTTTTAAGTTCCCATAGACACGCAGAACTAGTATAACTGATTGCTGTTTTAAAGTAACTTGCCAGATAATTGTGTGAATTAACCAGATATTTGTTTTATTAAAAATAATGCATGTTGTGTCGATAACAATGTTTTGTTGCCTGATCTTTTGTTCTATGTTGTGTTTTTGATAAAAAGGAATTGGAATGTAATGTGTTCCTATTATTGATATTGATGATATATTACAAATTGTAGTAATGTTAATGTTTTTAAAGGCAGGGCAACATTACATTCATTTATAAAATGTTTTTATCTAAACATTGATTCTTTTCTATTTTTATGCACATTTCAATCATACAGTTCTTGCATGTTTTTTCATACATATTGTTAAATCTCCTGGTCAGGAGATTGAGGATGCATTAGGTGTGCTGTCGGATAGCTCTGATGAGGATGTGCTGACCACCAGAATAGTGCGAAGGAGAGTAATTATTCAGGTATATCTGTAGCTTGCTCCGTTGTGGAGGTTAAGTGTGAAAGCTGTTGTTTCTTGGTTACACTTGGTGTGCATCCATGGGCGGAAATATTGACAGAGTAACCTACTGAACGTTTTGTGTGATAATTTTTTAATATAATTGTACATTTTATTTGGAAACTCACACAATTTAACAATCCTGCATTTTCAGCTGTGACTTAACCTGCCTGCTTCTCAATTATTAGTAAAAGTTGTCCATTTTAAACTTGGAGCCTTACTCCCCGACACTATATTTCTGAAGTTGATGTCCCTTGAAAATTACAAAATGCACAACTTTTACATGAATTGTTATTCTTATAAGACTGGACGAATTTTTTCAAAATTATTTGAATTATTTATTTTTTGCTAACCCTAACCTTTACCCAAGCCAGGGCAGCTGTTTCCTCTTGTGGAGAACACTGCTTTAAGGGGCATGACATGTACTGATTGTTTGTCTGGTTTCTTGCACAGGGTGATGATGTTCCAGATATTTCTCCACAGTCAGTAACAGAAGAGCAATACACAGATGCTCAAGGCAACTTGGTTGTAAAGAAGGTAAACATCTAAGATATGCAAAACACGTGTTTACATTTTAACCTTCCACCATACATCAAATGTGTCCATCCTTTAACCCTTACATTCATCTGACCTGTCATCCAGCCATCGTTTCAAGAGTTCAAACTTAGATATTGCTTGATAATGATAGCAGGTTTGGTATGCTTTCTCAGAGACAATTGAGCCCAGGGCTCCCGCCTGGTCAATGAGCATGTAAAAGGGTATGAGATCAGGTAGCTCTGAAGAGATCCCCCTGGTAAAGGAGGAAAGGGGGAGATGGGGTGGATAGGGGGTTCTTCAAAAAAACGGTTGAGGGAGTAATGTTAGTCAGGCTATTTATAGTGAGTTTGGAATGATCCGGTTGGCTTACTAAGGATTACAGATGAGAGACCAGCCGCTATTAATCATATCATGTGCTTCCCTCAAAATTAGTTTGTGAAACTTCACTTAGTTCATTAATCTATCTTCCATTCATTACATCCACTTACCTTTTAATCATATATTCAACCATCTTTCAATCAATCTATCCTTCAGTCTAACCATACATCCATCCATCCTTTAGTCAACCAATTTACCTATTCTTTAATCCATCAACCCTTACATCTAGCCTATCCATTCATCTACTGGTTAATTTCTCCATTGGTTGTGCAGAAGGTAAAGATTCAAGATATGCAGAACACATACAGTCCCGAGGGGTTGTAATAATTTCAGGGTTTACTGGGTATTTTTATATATAGTCAAGTCCAAAGTTATTCTTACCCTAGAGAAAGAATAGCTTCGGGCTTGACTGTGTATTTACATATTTTACACCCTCCACCATCAATCAAATATGTCAATCCTTTAACATTTACATTCATCTGTTTTATCATCGATCCATCATTCAGTCCATCCATCTATCCATTACCCCTCCTTTAGTTTTTCCATTTATCCACCTTTAATCTGTTTACTCATCCATCCATCCCTAAATCCACCCATTTACCTAACTTTAACTTATCCTTCCTTTCATCCATCCATTCACTCTTTAGAGTAGTTCATCCACTCATCCAACCATTAATCTGTCAGCACATCCATCCATATAACCTTCAATCTAATGTCTACACATCTATCTCTCCATACATCTACCTGTAAATCATTTTATCTCTCCAGCTATTCTTACATTTATTTACCCTTTAATCCATCCGTCTACATACCATTTTATCGAATCATCATTTCATCTATTCTTTAAACTGCCCATATGTATTCAATTTAATCCATACATTTTTCCATCAGCTTATCCATTTGCCTACATACAATATCAATTTATCAAAAAAAGCATGTCCAATCACATGTGTTAACCTTACTTTTTTTTTTACCTGCTCAGGTGACCAGGAAGGTGATTAGACGATGTGTGTCCTCTGATGGGGTGGAGACAGAGCAGTTGAGGGTGGAGGGCTCTGCTCAGCAGCCTGTCCATGTGGCTCCAGGGGACAGTTACTCCAAAGTAATGAAGAGGACAGTACTGAAGAGCGAAGGACATGAAACAGAGGTGTGTAATTTTGCAGTGGCCTAAAACAATTATTTATTCATTCATTATTTTCCTTTGGCTTAGTCTACATTTTAAATGTCAACACAGTGTAAAGAACCAGCAACTATTCCAGCATATGTTTTACACAGCGGATGCCCTTCCAGCCGTAGCCCAGTACTAGAAAACAACCTTACACACTCACTCACACACTCATACACTATGACCAATTTAGTTAATAGAATTCACCCATGGCACATATCTTTGGACTGTGGGGGAAAGCAGAGCAAACACACCGAAAAAAAACACACAAACACAGAAAGAACATGCCAACTGGCCCAGCTGGGACTCGAAACGGCAACCTTCTTGCTGTGTGAGGTGGCAGTGCTAATCACTGAGCCACCATGCCACCCTAACACAACGATATGTACAGTAATCAAAATAAGCCAATTTGTTTCAATGTCATGTACTTACTTAAGCAATGAAAATGTTGGCATTTCAACAGTTTTGATCAATTAAAGATGTGTATCTTGTTTAACTTCAGGTGACTTTCCATGAGAAAGACAGCATTTCGGCTTCAAGGGGGGAGTCTGCCGCTGGTCAAGAAGTCAGACAGATGGTCCAGACAACAGTGGTACATGGAGAACAGTTGGAAAAGCATGAGGGGAATCCATTCCTTGCCAGAGACTTGCCCTCTGCTCGGGATGACTTCACCCAGGTGAGCTGCCAAACACAGCAGCTGTTACTTACGGCTTTACTACAAAGTTGTTGGAAGATTTGTAGTTATTTAGGGAGAATCCGGCTGCAATTATGTTTTTTTAAATAAACCAAAAAGTTGGCTTATGTTATGTTATGTAATCAGCAAACTGTGATAGGGATAACATTTTTTAGATGTTATGATGTTCCATATGTGAGATTTGATCAAACTATTAAAAATAAAATATTACAGCATTCTGTCTTAGAAATAGACAGTGATTTTCCTTTTTTTTTGTTTTAATATTAGATACTATTACAAAGTAGGAATATGAATTACTATAAATTAAGTATAATATTAATATATCATTTATATGATTTAAGTAGTACTATGAATTAATTTTACAGTAGTAATATGGTATCATGGGAGTTTAAGGTACACTGCATCCGGAAAGTATTTATAGCGCTTCACTTTTTCCACATTTTTTGTTACAGCCTTATTCTAAAATGGATTAAATTCATTTATTTCCTCTAAATTCTACACATAATACCCTATAAAGACAATAACCCCTTTCACACATACAGACCTTTCCGGAAAATTACCGGCAATTTTCCGGAAAGGTTGTATGTGTGAACAGGCCCTTTTTGAAAATACCGGTAAATTCATTCTGGCTATTTTCCGGAAAGAGAAGTTGTAACATTACCGGCAATTTGCCGGAATGCTGCGCTGTGTGAATGCAGAAGGAAGATAGCCGGAAAGAGCGCGTCCACGTCTAGAACGTGCTGACGTGAGACGTCTGCTTTAGCCAATTAGAACAGTCAGACGCATTCACGTGCGCGCGGTTTATGAGAATAAAAGCCTTTGAATATTTTTCCAGGCACGTTTAGCTGCTAGATGTTAGTCAGATAACGTTTCTATGTTCCTTCTTAATGCTAACTGTGTAAATAATTATCGATAAAATGTTTATGATAATCCGTTGTTTGTTTACCTTCAAGCTTTGCGTGTGCCCGTGAGCGCCAGCACACACACATATCATGAACATCTCGACATGCGAAAAAAACCTGAAGAAAAAAAAAAAAATCACATGAACATCAGTATTCACTACCTTTGCCGTGAAGCTCTAAATTGAGCTCAGGTACATTCTGTTTCCACTGATCATTCTTAAGATGTTTTAGTAGCTTAAATGGAGTGGTAAATTCAGTTGATTGGACATGATATGAAAAGGCATACACCTGTCAATATACGGTTCCAGGGTTGATAGTGCATGTCAAAGCACAAACCAAGCATGAAGACAAAGGAATTGTCTGTAGACCTCTGAGGCGGGATTGTCTCAAGGGCACAAGAAACAGAAAAATGTCTGCTGCTCTGAAAGCTCCAATAAGCACAGTGGCCTCCATCATCCGTAAGTGAAAGATGTTTGGAACCACCAGGACTCTTCCTAGAGCTGGCCGGCCATCTAAGCTGGGTGATCAGGGGAGAAAGGCCTTAGTCAGGGAGGTGATCAATAACCTGATGGTCACTCTGTCTGAGCTCCAGTGTTCTTCTGTAGAGAGAGGAGAACCTTACAGAAGGACAACCATCCGTGCAGCAATCCACCAATCAGGCCTGTATGGTAGAGTGGCCTGCCTGGAATTTGCCAATAAGCATCTGAAGGACTCTTAGACCACAAGAAACAAAATTCTCTTGTCTGATGGGACTAAAATTGAACTCTTTGGAGTGAATCCCAGGCGTTACGTTTGGAGGAAACCAGCCACCGCTCATCACCAGGCAATACCCTACAGTGAAATATGGTTGTGGCAGCATCCTGCTGTAGGGATGTTTTTCAGCAGCAGGAACTGGAAGACTAGTCAGCATAGAGGAAAAGATGAATGCAGCAATGTACAGAGACATCCTGAATGAAAACCTGCTTCAGAGTGCTCTTGACCTCAGACTGGGGCGACGGTTCATCTTTCAATAGGACAATGACCAAAAGCACACAGCCAACATATGAATTGAGTGGCTTCACAACAACTCAGTGAATGTCCTTGAGTGGCCCAGCCAGAGCCCAGACCTAAATCCTATTGAACATCTCTGGAAAGAACTGAAAATGGTTGTACACTGTCACTTCCCATCTAACCCGATAGAGCTTAAGAGGTACTGCAAAGAGGATTTCCCAAAGACAGGTGTGCCAAGATTGAGGCATTAAATTTAAAAAAAGACTTGAGGCTGTAACTGGTGCCAAAGGTGCATCAACAAAGTATTGAGCAAAGGCTGTGAATACTTATGTACATGTTATTTTTCAGGTTTTTATTTTTAATAAATTTGCAACAATTAAAAAAATTCAAAACTTTCACATTGTCATCACAGGGTATTGTGTTTAATTAATTTTGGAATCAGGCTGTAACATAAAAAATGTGGTAAAAATGAAGCGCTATATATACTTTCCAGATGCACTTATTCTGCTGTACAGTCCATCACACCCATAGTTTCTCCATGAAGTTTGCCTTTTTATTTCCAGGGTTCCTTTATTGTTAATGTGGTATATGCCTCATTCCCTTAGGCTCTAAACTACTTTGGAGGTTTTAGGAAGGTGCAGATCCCTCGAGTTGTAGAGCAGGAAATACTGCAGCCTGATGGATCTGTGATCAGGAGGTTTGAGAGACAGGCATGGTGTTTATGTGCATATTAGTGTGAAAATGTGTGTGAGGGGGGAAGAATGAGAAGGGTGGAAAATGTATTTAATCTACATTTAGTTTACTTGAAAGTATCTTATGCACATCCAGGCTGCAAGTAGTTAAAATATTGATATTCAGAAATGTTATTGCATATTATATATAATAGTGGGTGATTCAAAAAGAATACCACAACTTTAAAAATATGTATCAGAATTAGAAAGAGCTTTATTGTCAGGTATGTTCACACATACAAGGAATTTGTTTTCATGACAGAGCTTCTACAACAGAATTACAGAGACAGGACAAAAACAGGGAATATATTTTTAAACTGAAGTAGCAAATGTTAATATACAAATTGACAAGTGTATGTAGGGGTATTTCACTACACAGCGTTGTATGTGCAGCTATTATGTGCTAATTGACATGTAAAGTATGTTGTTACACATCAAGTATGTTGTCCATCATGTTATTTAATCAAAGAAACATGATGGAACCTTGGGTAATTAATCAATGTGAAGAGTACTTAACATAGTGAAGAGTTTTTCTCAAGTTCATAGAGTAGATGTTTAATATGACCCCTGCCAGACACTCAAGTGACACCAACCTGAAAGTTGTGGTACTCTTTTTGAATCACCCTGTATACAGTATGTTAATGTTAACCCTGTGAATGCCAATACACCAATGTTAAGACTTCAATAAAAATTCTAATAAGCTAAATTGGTACAAAAGAGACACTTCTAATTATTACAGCAATATTATAATTACATGTAAACTGATGCATTTTTCATTCAGAAAAAACAGCATTCATTTTAGTAACAATTGGCTAATTAAATGCACTTTTCAATAATAATGCAGGTGATGTGATGATTTTGCAGTGGTCGTCTTATTAGTGTAGAGTTGTTATACTTGACATTAATGTGTGCATATTTATTAACAAAGCATGTCTTTATGCTGTATTTCCCTCTAACAACATTCTCTCTCTGTCCATCATTATTGAGGCATATCAGTAGCAAATTTAATTTTGAAATGTAATATGAAAACGGCAATGAAATTTGTAAAATGACAACATATTTCTTTTTTTATATGTGCATTCTCTATGACAAATGTGCAAAGTTTGGTGGAAAAAAAGAAAGTCAAACTATATCATTTAGGTTTGCCATTTGCAACCATTGTTTTAATATATAAATTACATACAAATGTTATTTTTGCTAAATTACACAGAAAATGGAATACCCTCATTTATTTGATGTGTGTGACATAAAAGCAGAAATGGTACACTGCAAAAAATTAAGTTCTTACTTAGATTTTTTGTCTTGTTTCTAGTCCAAATAGCTACATTTTTTAAGCGTTTTTCCTTAAAACAAGCAAAATAATCTGCCAGTGGAATAAGCAAAATAATCTTGTTTTTCAATATGTTTTGCTTGCCTAGAAAATGCTTTTTGATTTAATAATTTTTAGATATTTGAACTAGAAAGAAGACAAAAAAAATCAAAGTAAGAAAAGCATTTTTTGCAGCGTAGCAAAATTATAATTTCAATATTATTTGAAATATTAGGATTAATCAATACACGGTGGGCTGTTTGCAGCAAGTTTCAGCGTTTAAATCAAAATACATTCTAAGCCAAAGATATAGCACAATTTCCATTTTCATTTTCAATGAATACATTATAACATATGTTGAGTGGAAGTTTCCACTGAGTGGTACAATACAGTACGGTTCGATTCGGTATGCTTTTATGGCCGTTTCCATTGTCAAAAGGCACCAAAAAGCAAACCGTATAGTAGAGGTGCACAATTAATAGAAAAAAATTGCAATCTCGATTTGACCCCCTAGACCAGGGCTTCCCAAACTCGGTCCTGGAGGGCCGGTGTCCTGCATATTTTTGTTCCAACCCCAATTAAACACACCTAAACTAGCTAATCAAGCTGTTTCTAGGTATACTAGAAAGCTCCAGGCAGGTGTGTTAAAGGAAGTTGGAGCTTAACTATGCAGGACACCGGCCCTCCAGGACCGAGTTTGGACACCCCTGCCCTAGACAATCTTAATCCAGCATTTCTACGATTCTGCCAATCATATTTTCAAGTTCAGGAGAGAAGCAAAGTTCGCACGAGTCTTTTCATTGTCTCACATACATTACTCAGCGTCATGGACTCCTCCAAATGATGTTAAAAGAGTTGCATACTGTATTTACAAGGTATAATTCACCTAAAAATGTCATTTTTGTCTTCATATTATGCTGTATTCGCGGCCGTGAAATCACACGTGATGTGAGCTGCTGACTGTGCGTGCGCGCATCTATTTTAATGAACAGAACCTGCATATACTGTGTGTAACAGGTAATAAAGTTGTAAATAATATTCAATTTGTGGCACAGAGTGATCGTTTGAAATCCGCGCATGAAGTATGAACAGCACTGAGCAGTGAAAATGAAACCGAAAGCGTGCACATCATTTACATAATCATCGCATTTTAGAGTTATGATTGCGACAAGGATTTAATGTTTTTTCTTTCATAGCGAACACACAGTTGTGCATGAAAATAAATGTTTACAGTGTCAGTATAACAACTCTAGCCTATATAATGTTGATTTTACCAGTGAATTAAATGGTCTAATAATGTTCTCAATGACAGATTGCAAGCATAGGCCTATATCTCAAACATAATTCAACATCAGAATTATTATAAGTAGAATAGAATTATTTATAGAAACCAGTAGACCTACACATAATATTAATATTGTTGTTTTACCATATGTTTGAGAAAAAAACAATAATTTCATATTAAGCTTTATTTTACATCTACAGAATCGTGAGAAAATCATGATTTTATTTTAATTGATTCTTATTTTAGCCAGAATCGTGCAGCTCTACTGTATAGTACCACTTTTTGGTTACCCTTTGCAAAGAGTACCTACCATGACAAATTGCCATTGGTACCCTTTTGGCAGTGGAAATGCAAGCTTGCTAAAGGTGACCCATACCGACCTGTACTGTACCGTACTGTAACACTCTCTGGAAAGGAGCCATTTGAAAATTAGCTGGTTAACTAAACAATCATTTAACCTGTTTTTTTATTTAAATATACTATGCCATGTTACATATTGCACCACCATTCTGCATATTACATTTCATAACTAATTTTGCAACTGATATGCTTTCATATATCCTTCTCTGGTATTACAAGAGACCGATTTTTCTTTCACAGGACGAGGATGCAGAAATCTAGAACCCACAGGAGATCAGCAGTGAGGGATGCTGGGGGACAGAAGCGGGTGTGTGTGGAGCAGATAGACGATCGGTCTGAGCCCCATGACAACCTACAGCATCACCTCCATCACCTCATTCACCGTTACTGTGCCCAAAACGACTGAGAGGAGGAGAGGGAGGAAGTGTGAGTTTATTAAAGGGTGCGATGGTTTCCCACTTCATTTTCCTCTCCCGACCTCCATCGCTCCTCTCTTTGAGCCTGTCCTAACCACTCCTATGCACCACGCTCATGCAATCCCAGAGTGCACTTCACTCCTGCCACTTCCAGTCTTCCTGTACAGTCAAACTGGACGTTTGCCCCGGTTTAAGACTATTTTATCGATCCTAACTCTCCCACAAGTGTTGTTTCCGTCTTTCATAGTGACCAAAGGGTATTCTTGCCTTTCCTTTGCTTTTTAAATCCCTCGGTTATTTAAATGATGAACACCGAAAATAAATCACAATAACCAAAATGTTTTTATTAAAAAAATACAAAAAAAATACTTTGAACATTTAAGCTTGAACTAACAGAACCTGTACTGCACTGCCTATCACGACTATTGAATATCATTGCATTATATCGCCACATCATGCCACGCTCTTTTGATCTCAACGGTTGAGATGTTTGAAAACTTCTTGCCTTCTTTATCAGCTGTTGGGGTATCGTGTGTCTGTGTGTTCTGTCCATGGAGAGTATATAATATGCATTTTTAAAACGACAGTAGATCACATTAGTCACCTCTAAAAGGATATTAGCAGGCATGCTTAGCTAGCCGCAGTCACTTGCTGTATTGGAAAAAAATACTTTCTATGGTTAGACGACTGTCATTTATCTGTCTTTTTTGTCTCACTCTTCTTGTGTCTTTGATCTGTAGCGATTCTAGTCTTCATCGACATCATCTCTAGAGTTTAAACATTTCAGTGCAGCTTTGTTTGTAATAAAACACACACCTCGGTTTTCAAGTTACTTTTGCCGTAATTTTGGCGAGTATTTTAAGAGGGACTCAGGAAGCAAAGATGGAATCAAAATCAAATGATCAGTTAAACATAATTCTATTTTAAACGTGTTTGAGTGAGTGTGAAAACAGAAATGTGATCTTAAAATAAGTATATTATTTTTGTTTTGTACATATTGCTATCAGTATGCTGCAAGGAATCTTGCTCTGAGGTATTTGAATGATTTGAATATGTTATTGATTTGGGAAGTGAGCATTAAGGATGTGTGTGCGCGTTTTTTTTTTAACAGAATCCTTTATTTTGATGTATTTTATTTATATACTTTATCTGTGTTAACAAGTGCAGCCGGGTTAAATTGATTAATATTATTTAGGATTCACCAAATCACAGTTGGCTTCTGTTGAGACGGCTATGAAAGAGTGTGCCATGTGATGTTCAAATTACTTTAGTGTTTTTGTTAATACAGCTGTGTTAGCAGAGGTTGTGGATTTTTATTTTTTTTTGGTGCTGATCTGAGGCCAGCTCTGCTGTTTACCCTCTCGCTCTTATAATAATTTTGCTTTGGGAAACTGGTCCTGGAACAGCATTAAAAGTCATCCTCTAACCAGAGCAATGTCATTAAGTTAAACACTTCTACTACTTTCACTGTGACTGGCCCACGTTTGATTTACTGAATCCGCATTCTATGTCTGTGGAGATAAGAATATGCATATAAATATATATAGTATATAAATATCTATCCATAAAGGCATGTATTAGTTTACTATATGACTTTTAAAAAAGACATTTAAACACTATACCATTGGCTGCAGTGTGTGTAATGGCTGAACAAGAATAAAAGTGTATAAGTGTCATAAACTTTGTGTCATGGTTATTATTATTATTTTTTTTCGGTTACACTTTATTTTCATGGTCCTATTCGGACATTCTGTTAACGATGTAAGTAGCCTAACATGTAAGCAATATACTGTAGCTCATCTACTTAGTAAAGTTTGTAATGGAAGAATGAAGAATAAGTGGAGCAAACCAGGTGAGTACAAACTATTCAAATTATATTTAAGTGAAGGGACAGTCAAAATTAAGAGTCTAGGCAGAAAAATGTACCAGACAAAAAATAATATAGTATTGTATAGTAAATACTATAGTGTGTGTTATACTGAAAATATTATAATTATTTTACAACTTGTTAATGAATGCTACAGCAGAATGTAGAATTAGCTATCCTGATCTTGTAAACTGATAATAATATTGAAGTATACTTCAGTTTTTACGAGGGGTAAACAATTGTGTATTGTAACATACTATAATCATAGACTGTAAAATATATAATGTGCTATAACTATAATGTGCATCTTACCATATCATATATAGAATTATCTCAACAGATTAATTCAGGTATTTACAATAGTGTGGTTAAAAATACTAGTTTTTAATATAGTATTTTTGCTAAGGGTTAGTATTGTAAAAGTTAAAGTAGTCAAGCAAAAGCTACAAACGAAAAATGATATTTTTGTCAATGAAAGTGAATGGAATAACATTTTGGCAAGGTTTTTGATTAGAAACACGAGTCATCAGGTGTATACTTCAACTAAAATATAGGGTAGCCTAATGTACAAATCTTCATAAACATGAATACAACCGTCACATAAAATCACTCACGTATTTTACACCAGTCGCTTTACAACCATCTTTACCCTCACCTTCATGTCGTTCCAAACCCAAGTTCGTCTGCGTGAGGCAAATATTTTTTAATCAAATTCTACTTACTCATTTAAGAAGCTGTTCCCTGAAGAGGTAAACCCAAATTATTCGGAGAATCGGAGTGAAGAGGTTTAAATTATTTCCTTTCGAAAAAAGAAGCTCCGAAATCTGGAGGAATCATGTTCATTCCAAACTTCAAAAGGCACGTGACACAACCATGTCAACAAATGACACCAAAAACCATGTAAGTTAAACCATGATAACCACAAACTCTGGTAATACAAATTTTAATTAATCCCAAAGTCCGCAATAGTATTTAGATCTAGCTTGGATATGTAAACTGATAGCATATTTCAGTGATGCAGTCTGACGCAATGCACTCAATAAAGCTGGTGACGTCACTGTAAGGGGTAGGGTTTGGGTTAAATCCAAGGTAAATTAATACTGTAGTAAAACCAAGGTAAATTTGTATGTGTTGTTCTGTAAAACAGATATTTAAAACCTGCTTGAAGTGCAGGAATAATCAGGTGCAGTATGTAAGTTTGGCGCCCAGTGGTTAAACTAGGTATTGCACTCCTGGATCAAAACAAAAGCAAGCGCAGGTTGCCAGATTAACACATATCAGTGAATCAGCATGTAAATTTAATAATGTTAAAGAGGATTAATATGTAATAAATAGATTATAAACCTTACCACTTTGTGAGTGAGTCCATATTCTGTGCTTCTGAATGACTGTTTAAATGTCTGTCGTGTTTCATCTGGTGCGAACAGCCAAATTGCTCATCACTGCAAATCTCGTCACGTATGACCTGTTGGTAGTTGAAACGGTAGGCTACAAAAAATGTATTTGTTTTGAAAGAATGAATTATTAATAAATAAGTAATTTGCTTCCGTCTATGACGACGATGCCATTGTCCATCGGGATGTTTCACATTAGACATCGTACAATGCCAAATTGTTCCACATCGCCCAACCCTAGTTCCTAATGTTTGTATTATTTGCTAATTAATAGCCTCAAGTGGAACTCTGAATCTGCATCTCATTTCGTAGTCTGCTACTGTCCACCGGAGGTCACATTTCGGTCACGGACGCATGCTTTGAGAGCCTTTCTGAATGAATAAATGGAACACGTGTGTGAAATGCAAGAGTGGACCTATATGTCAAGCAAGCATGATTGAAATTGCATGACAAAATGTGTTCTGAAGAGATGAAAATTACATGAAGATGAGCTATTAATTAAACAGTTTTTATTTTGGGATAAACTAACCTACCTTACACTCTAATAGGCTAATCTAGCAGCTAGTGGTAAATTTACGCTCCATTATTTGGCGTTTACTGTAAGTGTTGATAGAAAGCTGACACATGACAAGAAACGTACAGTACATATCACACCTTTATTGTATTTTTCATTAAATATGTTGATTTGCTAGCGCCACCATGGCAACAAATTATGAAGTTCACATCCTCATATTGGCGTTGAGGTTCTGTAAGTATCAGCAGAGGAAATGTCTTTAAGAAGAGAAAAAGGAACATGGAGAAACGGAAAGTACGGTGTTGGCATAGTCCAGTGGTGGTGAGGTTTTTCCTCAAGGAAGACCGTTCCATTCCGACATCGCTCTCTATGACATCATCTTCCAATTAAGTGGCGCACAGACACAATGTCGCCACTAGGGGCAGTGTGCATGCTTGAAATTCAGACTCGTTCGCTTTCGCTCTTCTTGCCATAGACGAAAATTATGTCGGGAGAAATCAAAAGCACAAATATGCGTGAAAATGATACATGTAGTTTCTCATAAGCTACTTATATTTCGTTTTCTCATACAGCCATGATATAAAGTCAAAGGATAATATTTTCACAGCCACTCAATATAGGAAAATTAAGCTACATAGATCTGAAAGTAGGGTGATACTTATAGATATGTCGGGTCGTAATGATGAAAATCGCTATCATCATTACCGTATCAGAGCCTTGATATCGATAGAAATAAAACTTTGATAAGGAAACCATGAATTACACAACATAAACAAGAGCAGAAAGAAAAAACTCCCAGCATGGTCATTCAGAAAATAGTCCTCCATGCATTACCCAATGCTTGTCAGTTTGATGTATCGTATTTGCTACATTCTCTTTGATATCTGTGTGTTGTTGTTTTTTTCTTCTCATATTCTATGACATAAAGGTAAACATACAGTCCATATTAGTATTCTGCAGTTCTCTTAAATCAAGTTAAACCAAGTAAGAGCCAAACATTGTATAAGCTAGCGAATATAAACAAAGCTTTTTGACGGCAGTTACTAAAGTTTTCAATTTTGCTGTAAGCCAGAATTTAAAGTACATATTTTTAAAAGTTTCTTAAAGTTTCTTTTTTTTTTTTTTTTTTTAAGATTTTTATTTTATCGTTTTTTTATCTGAACGATCACGACATATGTACATCACCAGAACAATAGCAAGCTCAATATTAACATTCTTATCTTTCAAAAGTTGATATATTGCACACACATAAATAGACATAAAAATACAGTACAGACTTGGGGGGGAAAGGTGATTCTCTTTACATATCTATACATTTAAAATGCATACCAAAACAGCTTAAAAAAAGAAAGAGAAAATCAAATGTTAAAAATACACTCCTTTTAATAATGTCCATATACTGTATGCGAATGGCCCGCGGGTTTTGGTGATGAACTTTAGCAAAATGCTTGAACTCTCTGGTCCATGTGCGAAAAAACATGTAAACGACCCTCAAGGGGGAAGGGTGGGTGGGCGTGGTTATTGGGAGTGGGCGTGGCTTAGCAGACACACCTCCAGCTTGACTGACGGACGGTTGGGTTTTTGCTGATGGTTTCTCCTCAGTTGGGAAAAATTGAAGCTTAATATTCCATTAACTACAAAATATACACAAACACACATCAATAAAAGCTAGAAATCAACATGATGTTAAGTATTATTTGATAGTCATTTATGGTTTTCATTCATATGGTTCTCATTTAGTGCTGTGGTGACCAAACTCAGTCCTGGAGGACCGGTGTCCTGCAGATTTTAGCTCCGACTTGCCTCCACACACCTGCACAGATCTTTCTATACCTAGTAATGCTGCGGTCAAACTAGAGATTGAGCATGCAGATTTCTGCCATACAGTTCTGCGAAAAGGGGCAGGATTAAACAAGATTATTAGAAAATTTTAAAAAGCAAGCGATTGGTCAATATTTTAAACTTCTGTACAGAGAGATCATGTTTTGATTTTCGATTAATCTCATGTAATTACGTGATGCGATTTTGAGTTCACCAAAGTTGAACTTTGCAATGCAGCAGCCTGCAAAACTTAGTGCTTAGAGCTTGCATTGCCTGTCCGACGCATTCCCGTGCATATAAATGGAAGTCTATGGGGCGAAAAGTGCAGTGTGAGCTTGGATTAAGAGCTTGATTAGCTAACCCAAGTGTGTCTGATTGGGTTTGGAACTAAACTTTGCAGAACACCGGCCCTCCAGGGCTGAATTTGGGCACCCCTGATTTAGTGCAAGTTCTAAAACACATAATTTTTTTGTCTCCATTTACAGCACCATTCAAACGTTTGGGTCTTCAAAAAGTCTTATTCTCTTCCAGGATTTATAAATAAATAAACACAGTAAAAACAGTAATATTAAATATTAATATATTAGAATTTAGATTAGAATGCATATTGGCAAATGTTTGGTGTCACATGATTCTTCATAAATAATTCTAAAATGCTGAATATGTGCCAACTATGCCAACTTAAAAGCAATTGTGCTTTGCAATATTTTATTAATTTTGAAGATTTAAAAAAAATATATATTTTGTAACATTACAAATGTCAATAATTATCATGAAGTGCATCCATCCTACAATAAAAAAATCTGATTAAATTATGAATTTTAATATTATTGTTGTTAATTAATAACTTAATGACTCCAAATATTTGTACAGTTTTAGACTGAACAAATAATTACAGCTCTATTACTTGAATCCTGAGATTGAAAATGTATATTTTTTTTAAAGACAAATTTAATAAATTAAATGCTAAAAACATGTTAAAGATCATTCATGGAAATAAGCCTTTTGGACAAACATCACCATAAAGAGTTGAAGTCAAAATTATTAGACCTCCTGTGATTTTTATTTTCTTTATTTTTCAATT